CTTTGACCCAGAGAAGGAGTAAGTACGTACAAAAAATGTGGATGGATTCTCTTTTTACATGGTTTTTCTCCTACTTATGTCTTTATACTATGTGTTTTTATATATTTAATAATATATTATATTTGTACCATAGACAATCCACAAAAGTCTAGATTACCAACTGGCAAAGAGGAAAACTGCCCCAAGGCTCAAGGCCCTTGAATACAAATAATAGATTGAATACAAATCAGTAAATTTTGATAATCTGATTAATTGTAAATTTATCATGAATTTGCACCACTAAAGTACAATATCAAATAGACAGGTCCTGTATTATTAGCTAATGTTGTGGCCCTATCTTTTAGAAGCACCCAACAAACTGACTCATGGAAAACCTGGGGCCAGGTACAGTTTTCTGTGTCATAGTTAATGGGAACTCAGAAGCTACATGGTGCCATGAACAGAGTGCAGGGAGCGGTTTGGGGGTCAGCAGGACCCTGGGAATTATGTTCACATTGGCAACTTCTGTAGTTGAGATCAGATGCTAACATTGCAAGAAGCAGTGAGTCGTGCACTGGTGAAGCTGCAGAGGTCGTGGTCGTGGATGGACGTGTAGCATGACTGGCATTGGGCATAGTCTGGGAATTTGCCAGCAGGTGATTACGCTGCGTATTCGGGTCACCTGTTCAGGTTAAAAAGTGATGACTTCATCTAAAGAAATGAGGATCCGTGTTTTATGTTGAAGTCCATGCTGCCTTGTGCACGTGTGTTGTGGCTCTTGTGTAGCTGTGTTGTACCTGGGCTGTAATGAGTGTCCTGGAGGCCTCAGAGCTCCCAGGTGTCTCAGTGACCAGCAGGTTAATAGAATTAAAAGCTGCAGTGAGGTGTTCAGGGGGCGGCGGACAGGGAGCCGCTCACTCTCTCTGGAGAGACTCCAGCCTGCAGACCGACCTGCTGACTGTACCTTCACACTTTCCTTTGATCCTATATGCCTTCTACCAAAGTGTGCCCAGAAAGTGTTTAGCCTAGCTTAGCACAAAGACTGGAAGCAGAAGGAAACTGGACTCCCTGATGTCCTCTCATCAAAACATGGATGATAGAACCTGTTTCAGTGTGTTTCATCAGTGTTTGTGATGTTTTCTTCGACTCCTCTGTTTCTGGCTCTTTCTCCTGTTTGATGTGATGCAGGCCGCTCTCTCAGCAGCCACAGGTTCATGGTTCATAGTGAGTGAAGTGAGTCCCTGTTGGTCCCAGGAGCTTTCATTGCTGCCTCCACTGAGCTCTGATCAACATCTATTACCGCGCCCGTCTCTTTGCCCCCACGGGGCTAATTACCATCAGAAACTGTTGATAAGTGTTTTGTTAGGAAGCGGCTCACAGTGGACCTCATTAATGATCGCCTTTGTTTCTGAATCATTAGCACTCATTACTGGCTGCTGTGGTAACTGGGACACAAGTGATGGAACGGGTGGACCATTAGGAGGCAGTGCAGTCCCCTGAGCTCCCAGCATGCAACAGCTGAAACGAACTGAGCTTCTAACCATAAACAAACACAGTGGGGGCCCTTCAGGGTCTGCACAGAATAAACAGGAAGAGGTCACTTAAGTTTTAACTTTTGTGTGTTATGTCTTCAGCAGTGTGTGAAACACCGACCCACACCAACGCCTGCTGGAAAAAACTTATCTTGCTCTAGCAGCGTAGCCACATGACAAAACACCAGCATTGCTAGTTATAGTTGTGCAAACCACATATGTAGATTAGTACGTTTAACCTTCTGTCATCTTCTGCATAAATGTTGAGTCTTTAAAGTCCTAAAACATAAAGCAGTCCACACCCAGTCATTTAACAAAAGTTATTTATATAAGGACAAAATAAAAGGTTCTTACAAGCTGAGCACACATGTGAAATTCATGTGACGTGTGATATTTTAATGGGGTTTTAACCTCATCTGTGAAACATTGTTCTCAAAGTCAGTGTCAAGTTCTTTTTTAAATCATAAGTATCTTATATCCTGAGCTTAGACTACAGTCCAGACTCAGAGCCTAGAAGATGAACAACACTGAGGCAGGTAAATACAGGAGTCAGTTAATGGTCAATATTTAAAAGATTATCATAGAAGTGATTTTATAGATATTTGACACAACAAATAATCCTAATACTTCAGACAGGAAGGAGAAAGGAGAAGACGTCCAGACAGAGACTTTCACACAGGAAAGACAGACCCTGAGTTTGAGAGATTTGCTGCTGCTGCTGTCTGTTTTAGTCTGGTCCACATTGATCACGGATATAAAGTTCTGCTCAGAATAAAAAATAAAGTCGTGGTTTCTCTGATATTTTATTTGTAATATACAAACTGACCAGTAGATGTCGCTCATGAAGCATCAGGAAATGAAGCTTCTCTTGAGCAACTGGCTCAACTGTTCATGAAGCCTCACCTCCCCATCATTAGTCTGTGCTGAACAGTTTCCAGATGTGTCAGCAGATGTCGAGCCAGTAAAATTCTTCAGTTCGTGTTTTTCTGCAGAAAACCCCGGGTAGAAATGGACAGTGTAAACAGCAGAAGCTCTACTGCAGCATTTTCATGTTGACCCTCCGTCATGTCACACACACACACTCTGACACAGTCGTTACCCTGCAGATGATTCACGCTGGGTTACGGTGGAGGTTATGATTTATCTTCTGCACCATTGAAGCTAGAATCAGTTTCCTTCCATCTGTCTGTGGTGCCCACACCTCCTACAGGTGTTTGGTCCAGTGTTTCTCAAACCTTTTCAGACCAAGGAACTTAACCACTGAAATTAACTTCACACAGCAACTAGGATTTATTTTTTATTTTTTCCTTTCCTTAATCAGAAAATGTGCAGTCGTGAGTGATTCAACCATTCTGCCATCTGGTTTGATTGTCAGGGAATGTGTTGTTATGTGTAACATCAAAATATTCACACACACGAGAAAATTATGTCATCAAACGCACCATGAGTCTCAGTCGTGATGAGTAAATTACTACCTAACCTCATCTCTTAAACACTTCCTGTTCTGTGCGTTACGTCAGAGGTTTCATTTGATTTTCCGTCAGCTGACTCAGTGTAAATGCTCCGGTCCGTGATCCTATCGGCTCTCTGTGTTTCATAGTTAACAGGCTCAATTACTGGAATGCACATTGATCGTTTTTAACATTAACAGTGAAACAAAGTGTAAACTGGCGAAGCTCCGTGAGGAGGCCGCGGTTACAGCGAAGTCCAACTACACTGTAAAATACAGTAAAATAATGTTTGAATTCACACACGAGTTGATTTAATATTGAACACAACACACATGCAACCCTCAGGACCAGGCTCCACGGTCACTCAGACGTATTCAGACAGACCTCAGTGTCCACTTTATTAGGAACACCTAGCTAAAACTAATTCAGTCTGATCCTGAAGGTTGCGATGTTCAGGACTCTGCTGCAGAGTGTGCTGCTGTTGAGCTGTGTCGCCTTATACAGAGAGATATTTGTCAGGTAACCTACCTGCAGTCAAATCAACACCTGTGTGAATCAGTTTCAACACAAACTGAACATGAAGGAGATTTATTCCAGCGTTCCTGATAAACTGGACACTGTGGTTGTTGTTGTCCCGTGGGACAGTCTAATGTCTGAAAGGTTGAGTGCCAAACAGTTTCTTTCACTTGCTGCGTCTCGTTCTGACTCAAGGAGAAACAGTAACATATTTCCTCACAGCTGCGTCACTTCCTGATTATTACCGCTGATGGTTCAAGACCCAGTTTCCCAGTAACAGCAGATATTAGAGGTTTCAGTTCCAGTCGCCCACTGGACTCCTTCACTACTCATACTGACATCTGTACAGAGTTTATTTTCACTTTCATGGGCTGAAGGAGGAAAGTTCGTCTGAGCTCACCTTCAGTTTCAGTGGCACACCTGGATGCACCTCTGTTCCTGGTCTGTTGCCCTCCACTCTCTCAGCTTTAACCAGCTGCTGTATTTGATAAACCTTAAATAGTTAAATAACTCCGTATGTCAGATAAATGCAGTGCAGGTAAAAATGGCCCCTGAAATGTGGAGCAGAAATATAAAGTTTGTTAAAACTACTGAACAGGTGCGTCCTGGAAGCTCACCTGGCAGCAGCCTGGGGTCTCTCTCTCTCTCTCTCTCTCTCTCTCTCTCTCTCNTCTCTCTCTCTCTCTCTCTCTCTCTCTCTCTCTCTCTCTCTATCTCTCTCTCTCACAATAAACAAAAAAAGAAGTAAAATTAAAGATGTTCAGGTACTAGAGTAAATGTACTTAGTTACCTCCCACCTCTTGTCACCAGGTGTTCCACAGGTAAAGAGGAACAGCAGGTTAAAGAACATTAGATTTGACTTTGGCTCCACCTGCTGGTCACATGATGAACAACATTATCAAGACTGAGTCTTCTGTTGTCCTGGCTGATCATCATCCTGCTTCGTCATATTCATCTTTATACTCTTCTTCCTCTTCCTCCTCTTCGTCTTCTTATCAGAATTCTTCATATTCTTCTTCTTCTTTTTCCACATTTTATGAGTATTCTTTTTATTATTCTTCTTCGTATAGTTCTTCATATTGTTCTTCCTCTTTTTAGTATTCTTCCTTTTTGTGTTTTGTTGTTTGATATCTGAAAGTTTCATTTTAAACAACATATTTAAAACTCAGAGGATCTCCAGTGTTACTACGAATCATCCTCTGGCGACCATGAACATGTTTCATGACAGGAGATGTTCCAGTCTGTAATGCAGTGGCTTTAAAAACCCACAATCCTTGGTAGTGTGTGTACAGAGTGTAAAATAAATAATCAAGCCAAAGAGTGAGAGAAGAGTTTGTCTTGTTGAAGCAGATTCATTCAGTCTGTGAAAGAAAAACCTGTTTTTCCCATTTGCAGGTTGTAAGTTTAGATACATGGGTCTGCAATCTCTTCCTCCTCTGCTTTTCGTCAGCCCTTCCTTCAGCACCAGGGTCAAATTCCAGTTGTTCCCTCCCTCCTCGGCTGCAGAGCGTGGGGCTGGAGGAGTGTCACCGCACTGAGTCTTACCGGACGGTTTGCTTAACACCAACGGAGAAAATCAGAGCTGCAGCAAAGTGAAAGGAAGAAGCAGAGAACTGCTGCTGTCACGGTGAGTCTGACTGAATCACGTCTGTCTCTTCTCTCTGGCTCTTAACTCATGAGATGTTTCTGCTTCATTAGAGCAGCTGTGTTAAAGCAGGAAAGTTTCTGTTTCTAAAACTTTACAAACTCAAAACTACAGAAAATCTGATGAAAAACTGAAGGAGAAAGAAGATGAATGATTGTAATGCTGCTTGTTCACAGTCCTGCTGCTGTGATGTCTGCAGATCACACACACGTCATCAGTAGAAAGTTTAATGTGCTTTACTGAAGTATTAATGTAATTTAATCCTCTGTACTGGAAACTGCTCAAAACATAATATCAGACAAAACTGAAGCTTTGATCTGATTTAATGCCTGTGATTTGTTCAGCCTTCAGTCAGTGTGTCACTCTGAACTATGACCTCGTTGGTTTGTGAATCTGAGCTGAGGTCAGTGATGCAGCAGTCACAGACTCACAGTCAGGGTTGGGGGAAGTCAGTATTTGACTCTGTGGTCTGAGCTCTGTGCCGCTCTGACCTGAGTGTGGCTGAGAGGCTCCGGTTTATTGCTCCTCTGTGATGTGGCCTTGCACAACAGCTGCAGAGACAGATTTCTGTTTCTGTTCCAGCCTTTGTTTTTTCTGACATTTCTTCTTTCTCCAGTTCTACATCGGATGCACATGAGACTCAGTTTGTAGTTTAATCTTTGTTTGTCCCGAGGAAGAAAAAACTCTGTGGCGACAAACAGAAGAAATGAGCAGTGACATTTAGACACGGTGCTAATGTGCTGACGTTAGCATGTTCCGCTTCTTGCTTTAAGCCGTTAGCATGCTAACATTTGCTAATTGAGGCTCACGGTAATGTTTTTAGTTTTGCAGGTGCAGCTGTTGTTAATTAAACTTTTACACCTGTAAATATCACCGTTGTTATTAGCAACCAGTGACACTGAATACGACAGGCGCACTTCCTGGTCTCTCTCGCCTCCCTCTCCACCTGAACGACCCCCACGCAATATTTAACCATAAACCAAGTGGAAACATTCAAACGACGACCTGATGAAAAGTGATCTGGATTAATCCTCCGTGAACCGTAATTATCAAACTAGCAAAACTAAAAACCATCAGTTAAATAAAAGCTGCGTCTAAACAAACACGACATTTATACACAACTCCACTGCAGCGGGAAATATGTTTTGTAAATACACCTGATCATGTTTTCTATCAACGTAATGTAACGTGTTTATATTTACGTAAAATATTTGTTTTCTGCCAAAATATCTGATGATTGTGAAACTGTTTCAACTTTATTCATTAAACACATTCGATGTTTTATTGTAGTTGTGTAATAACGTCTGTAGGAGTCATGGTCGTCTCCTTTATGACACGCTGACGACAGAGCTGCTATCCACACACACACACACACACACACACACACACACACACACACACACACACACACACACACTCACACACTCACACACTCACACACACACACACACTCACTCACACACTCACACACTCACACACACACTCACACACACACACACACACTCTCACACACTCACACACACACTCACACACTCACACACACACTCACACACACACACTCACACACACACACACACACACACTCACACACACACACTCTCACACACACACTCACACACTCACACACACACTCACACACACACACTCACACACACACTCACACACACACACACACACACACACACACACACACACACACACTGACGGCAGTGACCACTGGGTGAGCTTCTTCTTCATGACTCTCGGAGGCGCACCTTACCAGCGGAGAGCGTGTGTGTTAAACACGCCTCAGTGTGTGTGTGTGTGTGTGTGTGTGTGTGTGTGTCGGTCAGCGGTTGTTTGGACTCTGAGATGATGAAACAATCAGCGGCTGCTTTGATTGTCTCGACCTTCCTCTGCTGATAAGAAGCCGCCTCCTTCCTGTTTCTGTCAGGTTGATTAAGCTCCATTGTTTTCACATCCAGGTGTAAAGTCAAACTTCACAGGATGCTCCGCCTCCCTCCTTCTAAAGCCTCTGATGTTTCCGTCTCAAACACAGAACAGAAAGTTACAACTTCATTCTCAGAATATTTTGACTTTTTTTTCTTGTAAATTGTGACTTTATTCTCAAAGTTCAGATTTTTTCCCTCAGAGTTAAAATGTTGATAATAATGTAAAGTGAGTGAAGGATCCGGGAGAGGAAGGTGAAGAAAGGAAACAAACACTCGTTTATCATTCTCTCTCTTCACGTCTTGTTTTTCTGCTGCACTGACTTTCCTGTTGGCCTCGATCCAGACCTCCGTCCACTGCCAACAGCTTTCACTCCTCCTCTCTCTCTTTGTTTAAACACACACACACACACACACACACACACACACACACACACACACACACACACACACACACACATTCTTTATGTTCTCAGTGATTCTAGAAAACTGCAGCCGTGTTTGTGCAGACAGGTGACAGCAGGAGTGTGTGTTTGTGTTCACGCTTTGTTACTGTCATGTTTTTAACATACCACTGTGTGTGTGTGTGTGTGTGTGTGTGTGTGTGTGTGTGTGTGTGTGTGTGTGTGTGTGTGTGTGTGTGTGTGTGTGTGTGTGTGTGTGTGTGTGTGTGTGTGCAGTTCAGTGTAGGTCTAACCTGCCACATACTGTGTGTCTTACAGACCGTGTTCTGCTCTTCAGTCTCCCTGTGGTAGAAATTAAATCATGGGCGCCAACGACCTCAACGTGAACTCTGACCCCGCAGGGTCACGACCCTCTGCTCGGCACCGGAGTCCCTTCAACAGCATCAAGGTTTGTCTCTGCTTCACATCCAGAGTCTGACAGCCAGGTCACCTCTCGTCAGCTGAGGCACGTTACACTTCACACAGACTCACAGGAACCTCTAGTTCTTCCCTTGGTTTGGTCACTAAGGGCTTTAACTGACTTTAAGTGATTCCTTAAGGATAAGACTAAGATCAGGAGAAAACCTTCAACTTAAGGGTGTCTTTATTTTAAGGAAACTTTAACTCAGAGAGTCTTTAGGTGTTCAGTGCAGCTGGCCTCTGGTTAGATCACCTCCTGTGTGACGACATGTGACTGACTCTGTGTCGAGCTTCAGATTCCCGACGTCCGTCCTGGAATTGTTCTCTCAGGTCACAACATGAAAACATTTCCTCTGACTTTCACTTTCCAGCCTCCATCTTTGTTGTTGATGCGACTGGACTCAGATTTATTCATTATGAAGAGGTTGGTTTTTACAGATTCGATCCTATGAACCTGATAAATCTGATCGTCTTCCTCCTCCTCCTCCTCCTCTTCCTCCTCCTCCTCTTCCTCTTCCTCCTCCTCCTCTTCCTCCTCCTCTTCTTCCTCCTCCTCCTCTTCCTCCTCCTCTTCTTCCTCCTCCTCCTCTTCCTCCTCCTCTTCTTCCTCCTCCTCCTCTTCCTCCTCCTCTTCTTCCTCCTCCTCCTCTTCCTCCTCCTCTTCTTCCTCCTCCTCCTCTTCCTCCTCCTCTTCTTCCTCCTCCTCCTCTTCCTCCTCCTCTTCTTCCTCCTCCTCCTCTTCCTCCTCCTCTTCTTCCTCCTCCTCCTCTTCCTCCTCCTCTTCTTCCTCCTCCTCCTCTTCCTCCTCCTCTTCTTCCTCCTCCTCCTCTTCCTCCTCCTCTTCTTCCTCCTCCTCCTCTTCCTCCTCCTCTTCTTCCTCCTCCTCCTCTTCCTCCTCCTCTTCTTCCTCCTCCTCCTCTTCCTCCTCCTCTTCTTCCTCCTCCTCCTCTTCCTCCTCCTCTTCTTCCTCCTCCTCCTCTTCCTCCTCCTCTTCTTCCTCCTCCTCCTCTTCCTCCTCCTCTTCTTCCTCCTCCTCCTCTTCCTCCTCCTCTTCTTCCTCCTCCTCCTCTTCCTCCTCCTCTTCTTCCTCCTCCTCCTCTTCCTCCTCCTCTTCTTCCTCCTCCTCCTCTTCCTCCTCCTCTTCTTCCTCCTCCTCCTCTTCCTCCTCCTCTTCTTCCTCCTCCTCCTCTTCCTCCTCCTCTTCTTCCTCCTCCTCCTCTTCCTCCTCCTCTTCTTCCTCCTCCTCCTCTTCCTCCTCCTCTTCTTCCTCCTCCTCCTCTTCCTCCTCCTCTTCTTCCTCCTCCTCCTCTTCCTCCTCCTCTTCTTCCTCCTCCTCCTCTTCCTCCTCCTCTTCTTCCTCCTCCTCCTCTTCCTCCTCCTCTTCTTCCTCCTCCTCCTCTTCCTCCTCCTCTTCTTCCTCCTCCTCCTCTTCCTCCTCCTCTTCTTCCTCCTCCTCCTCTTCCTCCTCCTCTTCTTCCTCCTCCTCCTCTTCCTCCTCCTCTTCTTCCTCCTCCTCCTCTTCCTCCTCCTCTTCTTCCTCCTCCTCCTCTTCCTCCTCCTCTTCTTCCTCCTCCTCCTCTTCCTCCTCCTCTTCTTCCTCCTCCTCCTCTTCCTCCTCCTCTTCTTCCTCCTCCTCCTCTTCCTCCTCCTCTTCTTCCTCCTCCTCCTCTTCCTCCTCCTCTTCTTCCTCCTCCTCCTCTTCCTCCTCCTCTTCTTCCTCCTCCTCCTCTTCCTCCTCCTCTTCTTCCTCCTCCTCCTCTTCCTCCTCCTCTTCTTCCTCCTCCTCCTCTTCCTCCTCCTCTTCTTCCTCCTCCTCCTCTTCCTCCTCCTCTTCTTCCTCCTCCTCCTCTTCCTCCTCCTCTTCTTCCTCCTCCTCCTCTTCCTCCTCCTCTTCTTCCTCCTCCTCCTCTTCCTCCTCCTCTTCTTCCTCCTCCTCCTCTTCCTCCTCCTCTTCTTCCTCCTCCTCCTCTTCCTCCTCCTCTTCCTCCTCCTCCTCCTCTCCTCCTCCTCCTCCTCTGCAGTTCTTCGTGTTGTGCCACAGCTTGCTGCAGCTGTCTCAGCTGCTGGTGTCGGGCTACATGAAGAGCTCCATCTCCACCATCGAGAGACGTTACGGCCTCTCCAGCCAGAAGTCTGGGCTCCTGGCGGCTTTCAACGAGGTCAGAGCAGACGCCATTTTTAATCATCTTATCCTGAAACCAATCCATCCGACCTTTGACGAGGTTTGATCGTGTGTGTGTGTGTGTGTGTGTGTGTGTGTGTGTGTGTGTGTGTGTGTGTGTGTGTGTGTGTGTCTTCAGGTGGGGAACACCGTCCTCATCGTCTTTGTGAGTTTCTTCGGCAGTCGAGTCCACAGGCCGCGGTTCATCGGGGGCGGAGCTCTGCTGGCCTGCTTCGCCTCACTGCTGATGGCGCTGCCGCACTTTTTGAACGAACCGTACGACTACACTGACCGCATCAGCTGTGAGACCACACACACACACACACACACACACACACACACACACACACACAGCGGACTGGCTCTCAGGTGAAGAGGATTTCTCTCACTCACTTCACTTCCGTTTCCCAACAGCATCCGGTGACAACAGCTCAGGTCTCTGCCAATCAGGAAGACCCTTCATCACCTCATCCTCCAATCAGAGCTGCAGCGAGCAGGAGAGCCCCGCCCAGCAGGGGGTGTACCCTCTGCTGCTTGTGGGTCAGCTGCTGCTGGGTATCGGCGCCGTCCCCATCCAGCCCTTCGGCATCTCCTACATCGACGACTACGCCAGCAAGAGGAACTCGCCGCTCTACCTCGGTACGTCAGGTCGTCAGGGTGGGACTAACAGCATGAGGGTTCAAACCTGGCTGTGATTGGCCAGAGGGGGTCGGTAAAGACACACCTGTCGGCCTCCAGACTAAAACAATAGAGCAGTAACTAACAGCTACAGTGAGTGGTGTAAAAACGGCGGGTTTGTCCCGTTTCGCACAGTGACGCAATCTCTCTGACCAATCAGCAGTCTGCGGCATTTCCACATCACCTGTTCGTATCGCCTCCGTTCATCTGGGAGCAGCAACAACCCTCTGATACGACCTGTGTCTCCTTTACCTGATGGGAAAAGACAGAAGATGATAAAATATGTAAATAAAAATAAAAACAGAAACCAATAGAAATATTCGAATATGAGAGAATTAATTAAAAGCCAAGTTAAATAATAAAAACGTTCCCTGAGTGCCTCTTATAGCTCCAGCCAGGGTTTCCATAGTTACAAAAAGCTTTGTATGTAACAGTTGTTAAAAGCTTTAGAGGATCTGAGAGCTGGTGAAGGAGGCTGGTCCCAAACCATGAAGAGCTTTACATGTCTTCTGAAGGACACTGGGACCTGACGGAGAGTAGCCAGTAATATGGTTTCTTATGAGTGAAGAGATGGTAACTTTAACTAACGTGAACATTTCATGAGGTCGACGGCCTCCCATCAGCCTCCGCTAGAAGTCGACAACAGCATCAGTGACGTTTGTGTCACGGCACAAAGACGGACCGCGGCTCTTCTTCTCGTGAACGTGCTGATGTCGGGAATGTCGCGGCCTCCGTGTCGCGTGTGCGGGTCCCGCGGAGCCGCGCCGGCCTGGGGCATCTGCAGGTTCTCACACAACAACAAACCGGTTTTTACTGGCTTCCTGGAAAGAGGCTGAACCTGATCCACACACAGGGAGTCAGGCATAATGATCCCAGGTCACTGTTCATTTACTGTGACTGTGTTTTTATGCTCAAATACTTTCCCACATGTTCAGACCTTGGAATTCTTTCCACCTTTTTTTCTTTCTTTCTTACTTTGTTTTAACACAAAAAAACAACATTTTAATTACTAATGAAATATAAGTGGGAGCAGAGAACTGTTCATTTAGATACTGAAATGTTTAGTCAGATTGTTTTTCAGTAACTGGTCCCATTGAGATTCCAGTGGTTACAGTCACACACATATTAAATTGGCATCGCAGCTGAAAAACTTTTTCCCCAAGTTCAGTCCAAGTCTTTTTTGGACATCGATTTGAAAGAAGACCTCAAACCACGAACACGACTCACACAGACCCACAAGTAGGTCAGCAATGTAATCCCTGTCATCAGTTTATGTATGTTGGGCACTAGTTACAAAGCCACAAGGAGGAAAATAAACTGTCACAGGATTTTAAAACAGTTTCGTTAGAGAAACGCTGAGGTCACGACATGTAAAGCAGCGGAGACTGTGTATTTACTTCGCTTTTTACAGATACAGAATAAAAGTGATGTTGTGTTTTTATAACTTTAAATCAAAGGGGAAAACTCAGCTTGTTTGTTGATGTTCTGAGGTTTGTTCTTGGTCGTGTTTTCCAGGCATCCTCCTCGCTGTGACCTCCATCGGCCCGGCCTTGGGCTTCATCACCGGCTCCATCATGCTGCGCTACTACGTCGACTTTGACAAGTTATACAAAGGTGAGGAGACGCACTGCGCTGATGATCCACAGCTGGACTTAAATACTGTGTATCTGCTCCTGTCAAGTCAAACTCATTTACAACAAGGAAAGGGAGGACTTCCTGTATATGGCGACACTTAGAGTCCTGGGAGTTTACTCTGTTTGAATGTGAAGTAAAAACTGTGAAGGATTAATGTTGGTTCATTTCTTCAGAGTACCGAAAACAGCAGCTGCTGCAAAACAAGACAAATAACTGACATGGAGTTAAATACAGGAAATTACCTTTTAATGCTGCACTGTGACAAACAGCAATTATCACCCCTTTGACCTTTACGCACATCTGGTGTTAAGTTATTAGACAGTTGATTTAGACATGGAAAGAATGAGACGGACCATGGTGACATTTCGTAAAATGGAAATTTGTAGTCTTTGTGATATCGTTGATATTTGTTTTTTTAAAAGAGAGACCTGGATCAAATAGAACATCAAAAACATCAAACATCAAAACAGAGTATCATCTGCATAGAAGTGAAGATTTAGTCTGTTATGATTGATTAATGTGACGTATAAATAGAGAAAAGAACAGGGCCGAGCACGGATCCTTGTGGCACACCATAACAGACACAGTCATTGTGTAGAACAGAGCGACATCTGTGAGTTAAATAAGATCTAAACCAGGAGACCAATATAACTTTATAGACAATCAGGTCCAGGAGTCTGAAGGAAGTAATAAATCATTTACCACTTTTGTCAGAGCAGTTTGTTCTGTACTGAGGAATTTTCTGAAACCCTATTGACCAGGTTCAAATCCATTAAACCAAATAAAACCATAAAACTGAATTTTCTCAATCCAGTGTGTGATTATCAAACATCCCTGTTGATACCAGAAATATTAAACAGCCGAGAGTTGTGTGTTGGTAGAACGTGGTTTTTACTCCTTCAGGATACAGTGAGGTTTGATTGTAAAGCTCAGCACTGAGTCACTGAGTGTTGAACAGGTTTTCTGAAAGCAAACAGTCACTTCACACCCTGTTGACCTCCTTTTGCTCGTGTGGGAAACAGACGTGCAGCAGCAGCGCTCGAACCTCAGGGTGATCACACTGATTCACACATTCTGCGTAACAAGGCTGGAATTTGACTCGATGGATTTGATATTGACATTTTGTTTTACTCAGGAGCTATACAGATATAAAAAGTGAAACTTACCTATAAGTTTGCAGCCTTTCTTCATTCCTTTCTTTCTGTGCTGCTGTTACACAAAAGTTAAAAAGACAACCACAAAAATAAACTGCCCGGCTGCCTTAACACTTTAAGTTGACTGAATTTGAGAAAATAAGTTTATATACTGTATATATTGAAATTTAAATCTTTACATTTATAATAACATTATCAAAGTCTGCAGAAGATTGCTCGTCTGTGTTTACTTTTACATCATCTACAAAATCTCAAATCTTTTATTATAATCTTAATATAATAAGATAATATTATATAAAATAATTTTAGAACACCATCTTTTTTAAACCGAAAAGATTATTGTTTTATTATTATTAACATCTCCAACATCAATCACAGATGTTTTGTGAAAACTTAGTGGGGGCTGAAAATGAATGGTAAAGTGCCGGAGCGTATCATGGTCGCATCATGTTTCAGTTTGAGAGTTTGTTGATGCTCAGTGAACCTCAGACACTCTGGTTGTTTGACGCCTTCAGGATTAATAGAGCTCAGTTTTCTTTAGAGACTTGTTCAAACAAAAACCTGTTTCCGTGTGTGTGTGTGTGTGTGTGTGTGTGTGTGTGTGTGTGTGTGTGTGTGTGTGTGTGAATGGAAGGAGGAGATGCAAGTGATCATGTGTGTGTACATAATGTGTGTTTGTGTAGGATTTTAAAAGCGAGTTTGTAAGTGTTTAATCATGTATGTATAATATGTATGTTTAGAAAGATGTGTGTGTGTGTGTGTGTGGTTGTGTGTGTGCATGCGTGCGTGCGTGCGTGCGTGCGTGTGTGCACATTGAGGATCAAGACTTTTTTTCCTCTGCTCCAGCAACAGTCGGAGCCATATTGTTTTCGGTTTGTCCGTCCCCTTCTCATGGACACGATATCTCAGTAACGACTTAAAGAAACGCAGCCAAAGGTAAAAAGGTCAAGGTCAGTGTGACCTCACAAATCAGTTTTTAGCCATTACTCATATTTTCTACGACTCTGGATAAACAGAAATGTAACTTGAAGCTAGTCTGAGTGGCGGAAGGATACGACCAGGAGGAGGTGATTCTAGTTTATGTTAGGACAAGGGACCTTGTAATGCATATGCTAGTGCAGGTCCCCACAAGTGTAGAACTACAAACACATGTGTATGAACATATTTGAGCATTAACGAGGAATTAAAGGATCATTAGTCACAGAGCTCCTTCTTGCCCCAGATATGGACCAGTATTTTATTGTTAAGCCAGTAATTTGTTGCCGTTGGTGATGTGTGACTCATGAACAGGAATAAGAAGAAGAAGAACACGAGGAATAGCAGGAAGCAGACAAACATCCGAAAGAAGCATCAGAGCAGCTGATGATAACTGTTTCATGCTGCTGTGGTTGTCATGACAACTGAAATACGAAGATTTGTCAATGAAAACTGAATGAAAGCTGCATTGTAGAGTCAGATAAGTCAAAAGGATCAGAATGAAAACATGGAGTAAACATTGGATTTTCAGAGTCGTGAGTCGCTGCAGATGATGATGGTCAGAGAGACGTGAGAAATAAAACAAAATGAAATCCATAAAAATTTAAGAGATAAAACTGCAGCAAAGTTTTTTTTCCTCTGACGTCCATATAAACTGTTTAATTTATCTATATTTGTGGGGCCCACTGGTGGGCCGCAAAGGTACTGCAAGTGGGCCAACAAAATACTGTTTGTAAAATAGTACTTGTAATTTTGGTGAAAAGACGTAACGATATAATAAAATATATGTATATAAATTGTGATTTGAAATGTTTAAAAATAATTAACTAGACATGAAATAGGATATGAGGTTTTTTCAAAAGACACTGATATAAAACAAGTTGTTTAAAAAATATGCTCCAATTTCCATTTAAAACATCAGAGGAGACATAATCAGGCCTCCGTGTCGTTACAAGGTCACATGTGGTCTGCCAACATATCTGATATGTGGAACCTCTGATCTATATGAACCTCAGTGAACCTTTTACTCAAGACTACTCACAGAAATCAGGAGAAAATTTCACATAAATGTTTTTAATATATCATGTGACTGGATAAACAGCGATGTAACCTGTAACTAGTTTGAGTGGCGGAGGGATACGACCACGAGGAAGTGATGCTCGTTCTAGCCGGATCATGTAATCAATGACTGATAAACATGTAATACAGAGAGTTTACTTTGCGCTCCATGGCCGACCTGCACTCTGCTCTTTTTCCAGACGAGATCAAGCTGGACTCCAAAGACCTGCGCTGGGTGGGGGCCTGGTGGCTCGGCTTCCTGGTGGCGTCCTGCCTCCTCTTCCTCACTGCGCTGCCTTACCTCTTCTTCCCCAGGGACATGCCCAAAGAGGTGAGGAACAGAGGAGGCGCTGAGTGGAGCTGCTTCGGTGATCAGCTGAAAACACACACATAAAAGTTAGATGGGAAACTCTAACATCAGACGCTGGAGTTGACACGACGCTCCTGAACGCACCATGAGTCTTTCTGTCTGAGGTGAACAGTGTCTTGTTTTCATCAGAGGAAACAAACGAGCCCACAGGTCGTCTGAGCAGCAGGTTGTTATGACATAGGTTCTGTTGCTAGGCGACATCTAGTGGTCGTAGTGATGATGACAGGAGCGAAGGGAAAGTGTCGGTGACGTAGTTTAAAGAGAGACAGAGTCCACGTCAGGAGGAGGAGGTGGTGGACGGATTAATGTGACACAGGAGAGCCGTGTGTTCGTGAAACCAGCTGTTTATGTTGTAACCATGACAACAACAGAGATCATCTAATGTTGAGGAAGTGCTTATTTTTCCCTAAATGACGTTGATTTCCTGAACCCTAACCAAGCCATGACCTTTATTATAGTAACCATGGCGACGAAGCCAAGTACGCCACTCTCGGTACAGTCCGCGTTTTTCTCGTCGTAACCATGACAACCGAGGGTTGATGGTTGCTCAGGTTTAGCTGAGCCGTGTCCTCGCTGTGCGGGATGATCAACAGTGACTTGGTTGCCGCGAGCAACAGACCAGTGGCTGATGTGTGGCGCTCATGTCTGTTTGGTTTCCAGGCTTCTGAACTTTTAATCACCAGTTCGCAGATGTCGCAGTTTGTCAGACGTGATTACAACTTGGATGTCGACATGAAGTTTAAATCTGCTGCGATGAAACCAGAACCTCCGACATGTTGTCAGCTCGGCTCACAGTCAGCACACACTGTGTTTATGTGTTTACTGCTTCATTCAAACAAACACACCCACTGATGAGATAATGATCGGCTGAAGTCAAACTGCAACATGTTTAATGACACTCAGACAGTTGAGGGAGGGAACTGATTTAAGAATATTTTCACTTGCAGCCAAAAGAGGGAGGGAAAAGAATCTGGAAGGAAAATCAGTTTTAAAACAGACGATTAAATTTTAGGTTTGAATCTGCATCGAGTGACTGACAGATTTAAAAGCAGCTTTTACTGTTTGTCAGCAGGAAACATTCACATGTTGCTGCAGCACAAAAAACGCCGGAAGTTAAAGGATAAACATTGTTATCTTAAATTTTATAAATAGATCTTGCAAATATTGTTTGTTTGTTTGTTTTGCAGACACTTCCTGTATTATTACGTCTCTTGTCTGTGTGAGCTTTTCAAGCTGCATGTTCCTCAGTCACTTTGGAGTTAATCAGATGAGCATCCACAGGGTCAGTGGGGACGCTCACGGGTTAATCTGTCCACCGTAAACATGATCAGGTTTTTTTTTTTATTAAAATAAGTTGAAATTTTCAAATCAAACTTGATCAGCAACAATGAGATAAAGAAACAAGAAATTGAATTAAGTTAAACTAAATGAAAGAAATGTAATTAATGACAAAGAGAATGAAAATTTACAACATGTTCATGAGCTGAACTCACTTTGTGTCAACAAGCTCAAACAGCTCCGGAGTGTTTTGGCTCAGTTCCCAGAACAAAGGGAAAGTTCAGCACAGATTTATCAGCTAAATGAAGAGACTGATCCAACAGTTGCTCAACAGATGAAACTCAACTCGACTCCCTGAAGTGGCGCAGCAGCAAACTGAGGCCAGAGACCAGAACTTTCACTTTTAAACTCCACCGGGATTTCACCTCTCTCTCTGTGAACGATGTCAAAGGTGAAATGTTTGTGCCGTGGTGCACTGAACATACAGATGTTTGCTGGTGTGTCTTCTCCCCACACACACACACACACACACACACACACACACACACACACACACACACATGGTTTGACCTCCATGAAACAGGATGTGTAGATTTCCAGCTTGTGTAACCTTATAATCCTGCAGGATCAGATTCTGTGCTGGCACTCGGCTGCAGATCCGCAGGCAGTTTTGTTTCCAGTCTTTTCATCAGATAAAGACAGAATCTCCACATTCCACACATTCTTCTTCTTCCCACTATCTGTTGTCCCAGACTGTGGTTCACTCTGCCATTCAACAAAACCTTGTGCACTGCTGCTCGGCGTGTCGTACGTGGTTAAACAGCTCGATGCTGACGAGCGCCTGTCATTGACCATCTCAAAGTGCGGCTGTGCTTCTGTGTGGATGATATATAATACCTGCATTCACCTTCGTGTACGGACCTCAGTGAGAGAGCGGAACGCCTGCTGTGTGTGTGTGTGTGTGTGTGTGTGGTGCTGATCTCAGTGTGTTGAATTAACTCTAACTGTGTTTCCGCTTTTAGTGAAAGTACTCTCAGGAGAAGTGATTTAATAACACTGAGGTTCAGCTTCACTGTGGACTTTGGCAGCTGTGTGTGTGTGTGTATGTGTGTGTGCGTGCGTGTGTGCGTGCGTGCGTGTGTGCATGCGTGCGTGTGTGCATGCGTGCGTGTGTGTGTTTATTTAACCCAGGAAGTCGTGGCACCAACAGCTCCATGTCTTTGCAGAAGTGTTTTTGTGGCGGAGCAGAAACTCCATGAGCTGAGGCACATTCCTCTGCTCTGAACTGAACACTGGATTTAAGTAACATAAACCATCTGATGAGTAATTGTTTGTATATGATCTTCCCTTCATTGAGCACCGCGGCCACCCAACATGACTATGATAAAGGATCTTATCTAAGGCAGCGGGGACGTGTGCAGGAGGTTGAACCCTGATGTTCAGAGTTGTTTTTATAAAACCCTGCACTAATGGAGCTTTACACTGAGTTTCAGCTGTTTTCAGAGAAACATCCGTAAAAACCAACAAGTCCAACCTGAATGATGCTCTGATTCGACCCAGTGTCTCCTGAGTCAGCGCATTTGTTTTGGGGGTTTGTGTGTTTTTGTTTTGTCTTCCTGCATCACGATGTCGTATTTGTTTTCGTATTTTCGTACGTGTTTTTGAACCTGCATCGTTTCTGAATTTGATGGGAGTGTTTTTGGGCCGTTGCAGAGCGTTAGTCCTCGTCAGCCATTGTAAGATGTCGCCTAGCAAGAAAGCGTAACTATGGGTGATAATAACCTGCCGCACAGACGACCTATGGGTTTGTTTTCTACAGGACAGTCTCAGACAGACTCAGACAGAGAGCAGCTGGTGAACATAGCGGAGCATTTAGCAGCTAAAGAGTCAGATATTTCCCTCTGGAGCTGGTGGAGACCAAACACAGAGCTCAAAGAGAAGGAACACTGGACTCCACATGAACAATCGAGTGTGTAACTGCTGGAGGTGGAAAAAAGCACCAGTTTGATCACAAGTTCAATATATCAACTTAAAAGATGATGATATGTAAATGCAGTTTCTGCTGAAAACAAGTGGACCAAACATTATGTTCCAGAAGAACAACACAACAAACATGCTGCCAAGAAAACATCTATCAGTCTGAATTCCTGTCCTGATCTGTGCTGGAGGTTGGAACGTAGACCAACTGATAAACCAGGAGCTTCACCTCAACAATCAGCTCCCAGTTCTGTCTGAATATGTTGATGACCTTCTATCAGAGGTTTATCTGACTGTCTGATGCAAAGTTAGGAATTAGTGGAGGTCTTTGTTTTTCTCCAGTGTTGTAGACTAAATAAATCCTTGTTGCATGAGTAAGATAAACAGTCTCTACAATAGTTGAGCACACAGAGGACTTGTTTATGGAGGGTGTCTTCAGTGTGACCCTGTGTAACATGCGGGGCCCCAGCAGACTTCCTTAAAGTCGCTGCAGCTGCAGACGGAGAGGTTTCGAATCCTGCAGTGAAAACACAAAGTCCAGTCTGTGATGTTCTGTTTCCATATTTGTCCAGGACGGTGCAGACGATGTCGAGTCCAGACCGGACAGCAAGCAACAGCAGACAGACCCGCCGCAGGAACTGTCCCTCCTTCAGTTCCTCAAAAGTAAGAGTCTCTTTCTGTCACTGTCTGAAGCTGCAGCAGAGGCAACTGAAGGGCAGCGACACTGAGCAGGGGTCACTGACATCACAGCCGGGAACATTTCTTCAGTGTCATGTCGCCCCAGTGGTTCACAGCGGTGTCTTGGGTAATTTGGGTGAACTGACCCTTTTCGAGTGAGACCTAATCAGCTTCACTGTCCTTCAGGTTTCCCTCGCATCGCTCTGCGGACGCTGCAGAGTCCCATCTACCTGCTGGTGGTCCTGGCGCAGGTCAACCTGGCGGCGCTGCTGGCCGGCCTCGCCACCTTTATGGCCAAGTTCATCGAGCGACAGTTCAGCCAGACCGTCTCCTTCGCCACCATGATGATAGGTGAGTGTGTCTGTGGGATTCATCCCCTGGAATCGGCATGAATGTATCATGTGTTACAGCTGAAGTCACGTTAAGCTAATGCTAAGCTAACAGACGGTTTGGGTCGAATCTGTTTGCTTGATGTGTTTCCCTCAGGGGGAGTCAGTATCCCGCTGGCGGTGCTGGGCACCGTCCTGGGTGGAGTTCTGATGCGGAGACTGAATCTTTCGGTCAGCGGTGCCAGCAAGCTGTGCACCATCGCCATCCTGCTCTGCATGTTCTCCGCCACGCCGCTGCTGCTCCTCGGCTGCTCCACCCAGCCGGTCGCCGGGATCTTTCCCTCCAGTAACAAAACCTCAAGGCAAGAACTCAGACACAGTCCACTCCACACTAAACAGCTCCCGAAGGCTTTTACCTGTAAAGGTCCAGTTCGCAGGCAGAGGAAAGTAAACAAACTCAAGGTCAAAAAACTAACCAGGCAAGACAATCACAGGAGCGGGAAACACACAAGGGCAGGAAGTAGACATCTGAAACGAGAGAGAGTGGTGAGAGATACTGAAATACAGACATCCGGGTACTGTGGCGAACAGTAGTAAATTTAGTTCCCCGTTAGCTTAGCAATAGGGAAGAGAAGAGTACTCACTGCTACTGACTGCTAGTCTACCACAAACTACTGACAGGGAACTTATTTTACCAATGGAAGGGAACTAATTTCATCAGGGTTAATTTAACTGCTTATAGGTCACTCACTGAAAGGGAACTAATTCTACTGTTGACATTAATTGAGTTCACTAGTAACAGGGAACTACTGTCATTATTTACAGGGAAATCATTTCAAGCCTGAAAGGGAACTAATAGCATCGATAAGCTAAATGGAATTTAACCATCACTATTTTTATTATTCATATGTGTGTTTTAAATGATGTATTGTGATACTGACAGAGAATTAATTTCACCACTAACTGGGAACTTTTTTTAAAACTGATGGGGAACTGATTTAATTTTTTTTTTTTTTTCTGTTTATTGCATTCTGATTTTATTTATGAAGGAAAACTAATGTCACCATTGACATTAATGTTACTGACAGGGAATCAGTTTCAACATTGACAGGGAATTCATTTCACTGTTGTCAGGGAACTGATTTTACTACTGACTGAAAATGATGAACAGGGAACTAAATGTACTGATGCCGCTCTCAGAGCTGCCACCGTCACATTTTAGGGCAGTTAGAACAAATTCTACCTTGAAACGCTTCACAACCTCAGACTAGTTAAGGTGTATAAGTTTAATAATGTGTGTGGTTTTTATTTTCAGTGCTGAGTTGCCGTGCAGCTCCAGCTGTCGGTGTCCTCATGAGGCCTTTAACCCGGTCTGTGGTTCCGACGGGGTGGAGTTCAGGTCTCCCTGCCACGCCGGCTGCAGCACCGAGGAGAAGGACGCCAGCAACAAAGTGATAGTGAGAGTTATTTAATCATTTTACTTTAAAATCCTCGATACAAAAAACATTTATCACACATTCACACTAATGCGGCGCAGAAGCTTCAGGTTCACTTCTCCACTCTTTCATGCCATGAATTCAAAGAGACGTTCTGTGCAGTGACAGAGAACCGGCTGCCGGTTCCCTCGGCTCGGTGTTTTAGGTGGAGTGGTTGACGTCACACCTTGTGTTTTGTCTCATGGTCTCTCTCGCCGCCTGATGCATTCCAACTAGCTTCTCCACCTACATCTGTTTCTGTGGAAGAGGTCTTGAGTAAAGACACTGATCACTTTATTTTCATCAGAAACGATGACGAATTGTGATTTCATTTTCAAGGTTGGACTGCTCGTTGTTTTCCAGTGAAAATGAAAAGCTGTAACAGTCTGATTCTTTTAGAGCTGCACCCGTCAGTCGAGTGAAGAAAGATTAATGAGGAACTATTTTGATGTTCAATTAATCATTTAAGTCACGTTTCAAACCACCAAACACACGTCTCTCCACCAGTCTATTCTACTGACTGACAGACAAACAGCAGCTGCCACTGACGTTTGATTGGTTCATGTAATATTCCTCAAAATGTTTCTCAAGATATTACAACTTCTCTCTCCAAATATCATTTTATTAATATTTAATAATATTACAACTTTGTTCTCAAATTATTATGTCTTTTTTTTTACTAATATTACGACTTATTTTCTAGAAAAATTATGATTTTTTTTTATATTATCATCTTCTTATATATATATATGTATATATATATAGAAATTTTTTCTCTAAATATTACGTCTGTTTTCTCTAAAAATTAAGACTGAAACAAAATAATTAGGAGTTTTTTTTGTAATATTACAACTTTTTTTAGATTTCAGATGAATTTTTTTGTCGCCCTAAAACTCTTGGACTTGGACTGACTGGCCAGATGTGCAGAGAATGATAAAATATCCAGGCTTTCTGGTAAACTGAGAGGGGTTTTGTAGAGCAGCATTATTATACTGATGGAAATCCAAAAGAAGTGACTGATGACTCAGCTGGATAAAATCTCACCACGTTCAGTCCAGGAAACACTAAACACTCCCAGAGCTGAGCTGACGTAGACGTGGAGGGATGAAAGAAAGTGACTGAATAAAAATATCCACCTGGAGGGAAACTTTTATTTTCACATAGAAAATCAGAAAAGTACAGAGAACTTCTTTTATTGCAGGTTTGAAGCCGACGACTCATTAAGAAACAGGCTGCGAGTTACTGTCTGTTGTATGAATCAGGTCCTCATGAAATACTGACTGGTTCCTGCTGGAACTTAAATTCAGGAGCAAAGGGAGCAACGAGTGGATATTTTAGAGGAAAGGAAACACGTGCAGTACCTCAAAGCACCACCTGAGGGTGTTCAGACGTCAGCTGTGGGTTCAGTGGAGCACACACAGGTAACTGATGTCCACCTCACCTGAAGCGTCTGCTCTGTCCTCCCTGTTGGTGATTGTAGTAAATTCTCGAGTAATCATCATCAGTGTGCGGAGAGGCCAGTAAGGGGGCGGAGCCTCAGCCCGTATCCTGACACTGTTTGTCTCTGCAGAACTACACCGCGTGTCGGTGCGTCGGCGGTGTCGGCGGCGGTCCCGGCTTCGCCTCTCCTGGGACCTGCGGCAGCGGATGCGGCCACCTCCTCCGCCCCTTCGTGGTCCTCCTGGGTCTCACCAGCTTCGTTGCGTCCTTCTCCCAGACGCCGTCGTACATGATGATCCTCAGGTATGAAAACACCACGCTGAGTCTGACAAAGGGAATAAAGATCAGCTGGACTCTGTAGCGAGTATTTCCTGTTTGTGCTGCTTTACACTTGAAAAATTGAAATATTTAACTTCTTCCTTCTCTACATTTCTCTGACAGCTGTAGTTCCTTCTGTATTTCTATTCCTGATTCCTGAACTGATTACATTTTGTTGGTCAAAGGTCAAAGGTCAGTGTGACATCACAAAACACTTTTTAGCCGTTACTCAAGACTTCACGGCAATCAGAACAAAATGTCCCACAGATGTTTAATATTTGATCCGACTCTGGATAAACAGGAAGTGGATTAAGGTCATTAAAGCCACAGTGACTCATAACGACGAGGTGGAGCCTATTTTTAGATTTGTCTTATTGCAGCTGTAACATATTTAATATTAACCAGAATATTTTCAGGCTTTTTGTCGGGTAAAGTATAATAAAATATAATAAAATATAATCGTCATGGTGACACAGAGAACACACCGTTTTCAAACTACCAACCTCAGTGACCAGAGGAAGAACTGCAGCTACAGACTGTGACACTCCAGATCTTTGATTACAGCTCCTCTTCCTCCTCCTCCTCCTCCTCTTCCTCCTCCTCCTCCTCCTTCTCCTCCTCTCCTCCTCTTCCTCGCTCCTCTGCCGCCGTCCTCCTGCCTCCTCTCCTCTCCTCCTCTTCCTCCTCCTCCTCCCTCCTTCCCCCTCCTCCTCCTGCTCCTCCTCCTGCTCCTGCTCCTCCCCCTCCCCCTCCTGCTCCTCCTCCTCTTCCTCCTCTTCCTCCCCTTCCTCCTCCGTGGAAAGTGACCAGACTCCGTCAGTGAAGATCTTTGTTTTGAATTTGCTGCTGTTGCACAAAGTGAGCGTGAGCAGCTGTGAAACATTAACTCAGACTCCACAGGGAGGAGAACCGGCTCCAGGAGAACCGGCTCCAGGAGAACCAGCTCCAGGAGAACCGGCTCCAGGAGAACCGGCTCCAGGAGAACACTGAAGGAACTAATTAGAGATCGTATAAAAACCAAAACAGGACGGGTCTATACATTTTTTTTAGTTTTGCAGAGAGGGCAGGTTTTATTTTGCTTTGTATTTTTTTCCGTCATCAGATGCTGCCGACTGTTGATGAGAGTTTCATCTTATTTACTTTACATTCTGTTTCTTCTTTTATTCCTTACTACATTTTTCCCTCAGTAAAGCTTCGTCTTATCGTATCTCATCACCTGCATACACCTGTCTCTCTTCACCTCCCCTCACTGCTCCCACACCTCCTCTCCTCCTGCACAGAGACTCCAAGTGTTTCATGTTACTGTTATTACCCATCAGCCACCTGCATTCATGCTGCCCTGCTCTGTTTCAGCACGTCTGCGAACCACACACACACACACACACACACACACACTCATCACCTTGATCATGTGTGTCTCTGCTGCAGGACGGTGCCCACAGAGGACAAGTCTTTTGCAGTGGGAGTTCAGTACATGCTGTTCAGAGTCCTCGGTGAGTCACTCCTCCGTCACCTGCTCGCACACACACTGAGCAAGGCAGCGAGCAGGTGTGAGGTGACTGGCTGAGCTCCGGTCCGTGGGTCTGAGTCTCGCTGCTGTTTCAGTGCCAAGTTTAAGTTTTTATTGTGACTCATGTTTCGTGGTCGTTGGGGACATCTTTGTTTTTATCCAGGTCATTACCGTGACCGACATTATCTAAGTCTGGTGAGGCCGCTCCAATCAGCGTTCATCACCGTTATCAATCAATCAGACTTTATTTGTACAGCACTTTTCATACATACGATGTAACAGGAAGTGCTTTACAGAATACAACCAATGAAAAGAAAAGTAATAAAGTAAATCATAGTAGTGCAGATAAAATAATAATAAAAGGTTAAAAGATGTTTGGAAAAGAATAAAACCAAAAATTCTGTATTAAATAATCTGACACCAACGAAAAATGTAAGAAATCTAAAAGTGTTTTTATTCCAAATGTTCACATTAGTAGAATTTTCTAAATATAATAATAATATAATATAATATAAAGAGCAATAAAAACCTAAATATGTAAATTACACATACAACCTTTTTTTTTTGTTCCTTTCTTGACCTTTCACCCGTCTCTGTGCAGCGTTCATGCCCGGCCCGGTGCTGTACGGCAGCGTCATCGACACCACCTGCATCCTGTGGGGCAAGAAGTGCGGCAAGCAGACGTCCTGCCTCTACTACAACCTGGACCGCTTCAGACAGAGGTGAGACGGATTCACCTGCCACATCCATCAGGTGGACCATGTGATATTACATCGGCCCAAATATAAGAAGATAATCTCTAGAAATTAGGATTAAATCAGATTTTAGATTGTTTTATTGACTCGGTTTCTGAAGGCCGGTGTCGCACGTTCTGCTGCCACTCAGGAAATAAATTCACAAAAACAAGTTCACAGTCTCCTGATGGTTTTACTGCAAAAATTAACCAGAAAGAAAATATGTCAAACAGCCAAGAATCACAGCGGTGACACATGATGAGCTCAGAAAGACTGACGTGTGTTGTACCTGAGCAGGGACAGAAACATATCCAAACACGTCTCAGTGTTTCCCAGAAAACATCTAACTTATTGTGACTTCAGTTGACATTAATTTATCTGAACATCTGCTGAACATTTTTACTCCAGAGCTTAATGTGCTGTGAATAATGTGTTGTCTCATCATATTTCTTTCACCACTTTCAACAGACCAAACTTCACACAGGCCTTTATTAATGTCAGTTACACCTGTATTTTACAAATCAACACGTTAGCACCTGCGTTAGCAGCAGTAAGGAAGGACACAGGAGGAAATGTAGGAAAAGAAGATGCGTTTTAAATGGAAAACGTGGTAATGTGGACACGAGTAGTTCTGGTACCACCAAGGAGAACCTCAGTTTCATCAGTGTCGAGTTTGAGAAAGTTTGTGGACAACCAGGATTTAATGTCCAGTAGCCAATCAGAGAGGGAGGAGGGTGGAATTTGTCTTGGTAGACATGTAGAGCTGAGTGTCATCAGCGTAACAGAACACCGCATTTATTAAAAATGTGTCCCAGGGGAAGAAGGTAGATGATTAATAAAAGGAGACCTAAGACAGAGCCTTGGGGAACACCACTGATAAACTGAACCACTGATAAATGGCGTGAGTCCAGAGAGATATGATTTAAACCAGGGGGGCCAATGATGCCAATGGATGGAAACATTATTGTCAACATTGTGATGTATTTATGAAATTCAACGTATCATCGAACTTCGTTCAGCACATCAGGGGCAGAATGATAAGAGTTCTCTGGATAACAGGTCCATGACCACCTGTGTGTTTGTGTGTGCAGGTTTCTGGGTCTGCAGGTGGTCTTCGTGTGCGGGGGCCTGCTCTGCTTCCTGCTGACCGTCGTGGTGCTTCGCAGGAGGGCGGGGCGTCAGGAACCAGAGCCGGTCGGTAAAGGAGGCTACAAGCTGGTGAACGATCAGAAACCCACGGAGAAGAGTTCATGTAAAGAGAAAGAACTGAAGGGCATCAAGACCTGAAGGAGGCCAAGGAGAGGGCGCCAGAAAAGACATTTTCTAAGATGTGAGAAAGTAACGGACTCGCTGCGCTGCGAGCGAGCAGCGTGGAGTGTTCCTCAGTCGGCCGTTGTAATGAGGCTAAGAGGCTTTTTATACTGTATTTTTGTACATTCAAACACTCTACAGGCTTCACTAACAACTCCAGTGACATATTCACTGTTTTTATATGATGAGACCAAACAAACACCTCCAACTTTAAAGCTGTGGAATCAGCTGCTGATGTTTAATAAGCTGCAGTTCCTCTAACGGCCACTGGATGCTGCTCAAACAAACCTGACTGTTGAAGTGAACGGGAAAACTCCCGACTTCCTCCACAGACAGTCAGGACACTGTGATGTGACTTCAGTTATTCAGCTTATTGTTAGCAGCCATGCTAGCAGCCACATTAGCAACCGTATTAGCAGCCATGTTAACAGCTTGTTAGCAGCCACATTAGCAGCCATGCTAACATGTCTGTTTTAAAGCTGCGGCGACATCCCAGACACTATTTCTATGATTCTCTAAGAACAGAGTGAATGTGTCTGTCTGACCTTTAATGTGACACTTTCTCTGCAGTGATGAGACTTTTTATTATTGAATTTTGTAACATGAAAACTTTTCTGTGAAAATCACAATCATATATTTTTAAACCAAGAAAATGTATAAAGACATTTTACAGAGATTTCTTAAAATGATTTTTATATGTGGTTGTTTATATAAGGGTGTTTTTTTCTTTTGTCAATGCGTGATTGCATTGACTATTTACAAGTATTCAGTGTATGAAGTGGAGTGTATATATGTCAAGGATATATGCTGAGAGGAGAACAATAACATTAGCATTGTGTTCTGTCTGGGTCTGAGAAGCCTCTGTGGTTCTGGTTCTGTCATATTATGAGCTGGTTCATGTCTTTGACAAATGCTTCTAATCTAAAACTGTGAGAAAGAAATTTAAAGCCAGTTTTAATAAAACTGAACATTATTGATTAAGTTTGTTTTTGGTTTAGTTCAGTTCCTGCTGCTTCGACATGACGACAGTCTGAAACTGTGATTCGTTCTTTTGTCGGGACTTTACTTTGAAATATCAGCAACACTTTATTTTACAGCTCCTGGATTCTACAGAAAATTTCTTCATAATTTCTTCACAAATTCCTAAAGATTAGCTGTAAATTACCAGAATATTTCTATGAAAGTCTTTGGTATTGAATATAATGGAAATAAAAGTGTTAAATCTGTTTGTAAGAATATCTGCTGAATCAGTTTGAAACTAAAGAATTTCCTCTGCAGCTGAAAACTCCGGGTCATCGTGCAGGTCGACCGTCAGGTAAATGAATTTACTGATCAATAAGCAGATCAATAATGAACACCAGCTCAGTGACGTCTGTGTTTTATATAACTTTCTCCACTTCCTGTCTGACTGGGACCAAACTGCCTCCATATATTTAATGAAAGGTAGAGATCGCAGTTTTATAGCTGCTGGTACTTTCACTGTGACACTGGTGCGTTTTAAATCAGAAAAGGTCTCATCTCTGACGGATAACGTTAGACTGAAGACTTCACACACAGACGAGTCCAGACAGCAGCTCCACCACGTCACTGCTGCAGGTTCAGACGTGAGGAGCTGCTCCACTTCAGCTCTGCAGTGATCTGAGGTTTTACTCAAATCTTTCAGCATCATTTAATTTAAACACCAACATGTTTTAACAGCACTACAGTGTAGATGTGAGCAGATGTAAGGACAGTTTACATGATGTTTAAATCTCCACATTTTCTTCTGTATTTTATCTGAAGTGTTGATCCATCAGAAGATATAAAAACCATCTCAGTGTAGTTTCACATCTCCTCTCTCAGGCTTCTCTCTGCAGCTCTAGTAACAACAGGTCAGTCAGCCAATCAGAAGAGAGGAGGCTCTGAGCCTCCAACAATTTAAGGATGAAACTTGAGGGTGTTTTGTTCAACTTCTTTTATTTTAAGGAAACTTTCACTCAGATTTTAAGGAAAATCTTAACTTAAGGTGTTTTGTACAGCTCAGTTTCTGAACACAGGCTGTGTGTCTTCACAGCATTAATATAGAACCTAGACCTGCTTTATATAAAACACATGGACAGAGACCTTTACACTGGAGGAGCTCTTTATATTATTCATCAATATCAGTTTGAGTTTTGTTTGATGTTCTTCATCCACCATCAGCAGGACGTCTCGCTGCAGAGTTTAGTTTCATACATAAATCATTGCAGAAAAACAAACCACTATAGTATCTGATGATGGACGTAGAGTCTGTATCGATGTGTTTTCACAAACTGATGGAAGACGTCGTCGTCTTGTGACAGGAAGTCTGAGTCTGAAGGTCTGTTTCATCATGACGACCGGAGACGCTGAGGAAGAGGAAGTGAAGGCGTCTGCTTTTTTTACTGATCAGCTGATCAGTGTGTGTGTGTGTGTGTGTAAATGTTCACACTGTACAGATTAACTGAGCGATACAGTTTACAGATGTTCCCTGAATGCCTCACATGCAGCTCAATGGTTAAACACTAGCTACAGCTCAGATCACCAGGGGCCCGCAGCAGCAGTGCACTGTATAGAGTCTTTATGGGAGGTTTAAGGGGGTTTATGACTGTCACTGCAAAATGTGCCGATCGGGGGGCCCTTTTCCCCCTGGGGGCCCCACACATTCGCCTGTTTTGCCTCTGCTGACTGTGCACCTCTGACCACAACATGTGAAATACTGATCCAGCGACAGCAAAACAGCTCACTGCAGTTTGTAAAAGGTGGATTCTAGTCAGAGCATGCTAACACATGCTAATTAGCACAGCTGGCTGCTAGCATGGCTAAAGAATCCCAAAAACATTTTTTTAAAAAAAAAGGAACTTTATATTTATAATTTATAGTAAGGATGATAATAAACTTTATTTGTTTAGCACTTTAAAAAAAAAAAACAAGTTCACAAAGTTGTTCAGAAACACTGATGTGATCATGATACAGAGATAAAACGTCATTATTTCAACTTAAACACAGAGAAAGGTTGTACATCTGATTAATGTTGAGATTTTATTCTGAAAAGCTGAGGAGGTTTTTCCTGAGCGTTTGTCGCCCTCTGGTGGAGATTTAAATTAAGGTGCATTCAGAATTTAAAGGCTTTAATGTATATAATATACATCTTTTTTCTTTGTTTTATTATTTATATTTATCATTTTAAACATTTCTTTATCAGTTGTCTTCAGCTTGTTTCTTCCACAGAAGGTTCTGGTTTCAGTCTGACGTTCTGGTTCCACTGTGATGAAGTGAGTGTTTCCATCACACAGAAGCTGCTTATTTAATCCAGACAGTAAGAGCAAGAGGACACACACACACACACGCACGCACGCACGCACGCGCACGCACGCACGCACGCACGCACGCACGCACACACACACACACACACACACACACACACACACACAGACTGGGACTCACTGACTTCTGGGAAGTTGTTCAGAAACCCCAGGAATCTGCCTGTGTGGAAAATCAAGACCACATGTGTTCAACACACACACACACACACACACACACACACACACACACACACACAGCTGCTTTTCCTATTAGCTAATCGATTAGCATAGTCATTTAGCCTCTCTGTGACACTGTGGACCGTCAGTGCTGGTTAGCTCTCCAACCAATCAGAGAGCTTCCATTAATAAATGTATTTATTCATAAATCCATTTTTAAATCTTATTATTTATTGATGGATTAACTGTTCATTTATAAAGAGAATCCAGTTATTTATTTCAAAAATACCTTTCAAATAGTTTTTCAAATCCTCTGATTTATTCACAAATTAATAAATGTTTTTATAAACTGTTTATTTAATGAGAGTTTTATGATGTTTTTTGTGTGTGTGTGTGTGTGTGTGTGTGTTTGTGTGTGTGTGTGTGTGTGTGATAATGTAGTAATAACTCCTGAGCACTCATGGTGAGGATGGTTCTGCTGTGACTGCATTGGACATCTGTCTTTTGTTCAGATATTTCCATATTTTCTACAGAATTCAGTTTTATGAGAGTGTGTTGTCGACTCTCGGTCACAAAACAGAAGAGAATCACTCTTGGAGAATCTCTCTGGCATCAGTGTAAACTGGGAAAACAGCCACTGCTCCACCTCATTCCTGCAGGAGGAGGTTTGTGGAACGTGATCACATGACGTCTCACATGTGGAGAGATCATCAGAAGGTGAACAGAGCAGCTGCTCCAGTGTCACACCGACTTCAGTAAAGTTAGAGCTTCACATCTAGATAATCTGAATGAACCAAAGTCGGAGGTTTAATTGTGTTTATTCTCTTCAGGGTTCGAGCTGATGATCAAGCTGCAGCTCCCCCTGCTGGAGATAACACGCATCTTCTCTCTGCTGCTCTCCGTCAACAAAGCTTGTTCTCCTGAGATAACGAGATAATTACCCCATCATCTGGAGATAACAGCTCGTTATATCATTACATTTACTTTGTTAATTACAGATCAGATGCAGATGGAAACTTGAAATGCTGTAAAGTGAAAGTGTCAGGGCGACACATTGATCAATGCATCGGAGAAGTCTCAGTGTCTTTTCATACAAGATCATTTTCATTTCAGTCCTCGTCAGCTAACGAGTTACTAAGGGCTGTTGCTAAGGTGAATAAGTGAATGAGGTTCAGTCAGAATCGTTTTCTCCTGATAATATCTCGTTATCTCAGGATAACGACGTCTGTTATCTTGACATAGCTGAAGAGAAAACACAATGAAAAACTACAGAAACGTGACGTCTGTATGAGGATTGATCTTCTGGAGAGCAGGAACATCCTCAGATGATCTAATGGTTCGTAGCTGACGACTGATTCTGAACCTTCACATCTGGCAGGAAGAAAACAACATGTCTGAGACACACCTGGTTTCATTGTCGTGTTTATTTCTTTGAACACAAATGACAATATTTGATTTCTTTAAAAAGACAGTCCTTTGGTGAGTCAGAGTATCACCCGTGTGTTTGAGTTTCCCGTCAGATTAACATGATCACGCCGACGTGTTTCAACATGAAAAGTAACAAATCATGTAAAATCAAATCAAATATCCTCGCAGACGTCTCCCCCACAAACGCAAAGCAAATACCTGATGTCCCTCCCAGGACCTGCTAACAGTGTGTGTGTGTGTGTGTGTGTGTGTGTGTGTGTGTGTGTGTGTGTGTGTGTTATATCCTCAGGTCCTTGGGGTTGACCACCCTGCCGATGAAGAGCAGCGCCCCTGACGCTTCGTCCCGGATCAGGTAGAGGAAGGGGCGGTCCACTGTGTATGACAGGTGACTGGCTGCCGAGGTGGCGCTGGGGTACTGGTTCCCCTCGGGCGCCGTCTCCATGACAACTTTGTGATTGAGGCTGACGAGCTTGGCGGCCTGAGCTGAGATCTTCTCCAGGTCCGGGTTGTCTAGCCATTCAGAGAGACCTGCAGGGAGGTGGGGAGGGAGGGAGGGAGGGAGGGAGGGAGAGCAGGATACAGATGTAGATATGTCAATAAAAGAAAATACTGATGACTTTGCAGGTGCCAAATAACGTTACGTGATGAGACACGTGTCACACTGTAATAAAAAGGTAAACAAATGTTGCATCACATTGAATCTATTGCCTCCTGGGCGCCTCCCAGTGGAGAGCTTCGGGGCTCATACAACTGAGAGGAGACCCAGAACCCGATGGACGGATTACATATCTCATCTGGCCTGGAAACGCCTCAGGATCCCCCTGGAGGAACTGGAAAAAGTTGCTGGGGAGAGGGTCGTTTAGACTACCTTGCCACCTGGACTGGACTACCGGATGAAGAAGTTGAAAATGGACGGACAGAAATCAATTGAAAGTTTCGCATTAAGGATATTTTATCACAGATGTGAACCTAAGATCAAGAATTAACTTCACCTCCATGTTCAAACATATAGAGGTGATCCCATTTGCAGATGATAGCACGCTTTATTTAAGTGTCTTTTCTGAGTCTTTCCAGTTCAGCAGCTTGTTGTTCCCACCTCTCCTGTGTTTCCAGGACACTGGTCTGGACACAAACATCACTCTGCCTCAGTGTTTTGGTTCTGGTCGACTCTGGCCATTTTAGAAAAGTTCAACTCTATAAAATAAAAACTCAAAAAGTTGTTTTCTACTCCAATTCCACTGAACAAAACAACTTCGAAAGCCGATCATCTCCATCGGTTTCTTTACAAGCTGCCAGGTCTTGAACAGGAAAAGCGATGCATGGAAACACATCACTTCAGACATCAACTACTTGTGCACCAGTGTAGAAGCGACTCAAGGAAAGTACCTGTCCAATCAGAGACGAGTATGAGTTGTAGCTTCAGGCTCATGAGAGACAAGAGTGAATCTTTTACTTTGAGTCAACAGGAGTGATTCAGCTTCGACCGCCTGCAGGTGTGAATTCTACCTCAAGGCTTAATTGGTATTTGAACAAATTATATCTCTATCTGTTCAGTGTTGGTGCTTATATTTGCATGAATATAAAGGTCATTGTTTGTCAGACCTGGATTTGGTTCTGGTTGAGGACTCACCCAGGTCGCTGAGCAGCGGCAGCAGGTCTGAGGAGTAGCTGAGCCTCAGGGTGGGCAGAGAGAGGGACACCTGGGTAGGGAGGAGCGTCATGGAGAGGTCCTGGACGAACTCAGCAGTCAGACTCTCCTCCAGCAGGGTCATGTTGGCGGTCACTTCATCCGGCAGGAAGATGAACATGCTGATGTCGTCCTGCATCTGGATCTGAGCGATCTGGTGGAGGAAACCGTTGTTCAGGAGAGACCTCAGAAAAACGTTCTCCATCAAATCAATACTTGTAGTTTACCTGTGGAAAACACTCACCGTGCAGCTCAAATCCGAGTCGGCTCCCATCTTCACAGGGTAGTTATCCTGTTTCATCATGGAAACACGCACAGGTACCCCGCCGTCCACCTGGAAGTTCTCCATTACTCCATTCTGACCGAACCGAGTCACCCACTTCCCTGTTCACAAACAGAAGACTCAGTCATCCCTGACATCCATGCATCCTCAACTCTATACTCACCTTAGTCCAGTTTTAATCCAAGAAGCAACTTCAACACTGTCCACCAGCAGGAGCCAGAGTTTGACTCACCTTTAAAGTAAGCGGCGCTCACGGCGTTCACTCCAGCGTTTCGGGAGAGGGCTTTGGTCAGGAGGCGCTGCACCTTCCCGCCCGTCTCCTGAGTCACCCAGTCGTTGATTTCTTTCACATCTTTGGTTCCTCCCTGCAGGGCCTTGGGACGAATGCCATACTGCTGCTCCACGAGCCCGAAGAAGTCCTGCTTCAGACGAAGTCCTGAAAACAGCCGCACAAAAAGATAGTTTAATGAGTAAGATTCAGGTTTTGGCAAATTAGTAGTAAATAAAAAAGTAATAGCATTATCGCATCTTGTTCCTCTTTGTATGACACCGGACTTTTCAGCCGACCTTCGAGCGTGCCTGGAACAGGTGGAAATACTTTAACATTTCGATGTAGCTGGATGACACATCAAACGAACTGCTTAGTATCACACAGTGAGCGGCCTGAGCCCTCGAGTTTTTCTGAGCTGGAGCAGCTCTCACCCACAGAATAATTATATCTGGAGTTCAGCTGATCAAAACATTAATGAAAATAATGAAAACAAAAACTCTGACTCTCAACAGTGTCACTTTATGTTTGACCTTTTTAAATTGTCCATCATTTTGTCATTAGCCACAGAAAATAACTTGAAATATTCCACGATGTCTTCAACGCCTTTATTGCAGATGCTGACTGCGAGATACATTCAGTTTCCTCTTATATCCAACATTATTTATATGTCTGTTTTTTTTTCACTAGGAGAAAGCAATGGAAGTCAGCCATGTTTTTAGTTGGAAAAAAGTCTTCACTATAATTGAGAGACATAATTACATGTGATTTTTCCCATGGCCCAACCCACATGAACTCACGTCGTGCCAGGTAGATGCGTGCGGCGGTGCTCAGGCCTTTTCCAGGCGTCCTGACTGAAGCCAGCAGGTTTTTCAGGGTGGTGTGGAGCTGAGGATCCTGCAGGGTGTGGTACCTTAGAGCCCTGAACAGCTGCTGTTCAGCACGCTCAGACCCTCCTGTGGGAGAGGAGTGATCATATTACATAAACTGAAAATTTCTGGCAAAATTCCCGTTACATATTTTCATGTGCATGGTGATTTTTTCTTTCTTCCAAGTCAAAATCTGTTTTCTGGCTGAGGCAAACTGAGGAACCAGGTCTAATATGTAAATACATTTTGTAGTTTTTCACTTAGAAGTCACAGTGGAAGTGGAAAAGAAGTGGAAAAACACAAACCTCTGACATTAAAATCCGTTCTAAACACCTTCTGCAAGGACCCAACCCTTGAGAAAGACCCAGTCTGAATCTTTAGTCAGTAATCATGAAAAACGGGGTTAAACTTAGAGTCTGTGTATAATTTTCTTCTGCTGTCATTCTGACACACACCACATGTGAAACAACTAACAATGTGACGCCACTGACCACCTGATACCTGTGGGGTTCTTTTGCGGAGCAGGAAACAAATCTGGAATAAATTTCGACCGGTTTGGCCGAGGGGCCCGTACACACCGTGGCGGCTAAAGCCAAAAGCACCATTTGGGTTTTAGTTTGTCGTGTGTTTGTGTCTTCACCCATGGACAGCTGAGTCAGCGCCGCAGACACACTGATGGGGGCCAGGAAGATGTTGGTCGCAGCCTCGCGGCTCGCCAGAGCACGGAACAGGTTGTAGCCGAAGTCCGAGGTGGCGGCGGCCATCTTAGCCGTCGGTGTGGTGAAGAGCTCCACATGTTCCTCCTCGCCACCGGTTTCCTCGCCTCCGGTGTCCGACTGCAACCGATCAACAGAGACAACAGTCAGCAGACCCGCTAAACGTGTTAGCACAGCTACAGAGATCCAGCTGTTTTTACTGAATCCGGTATCAAGTGATTCTGTGCTGGAGTCCTGTGCGTCAGGAAAACCAGTGAGACCAGTCAAATACTGCTGCTGGTTTATAAAGCCCTGCAGGGTTTAGGTCCAAAATACATTTCTGATTTGCTGCTACATCCTGAACCACCCAGACCTGTCAGGTGGTCTGGTTCTGCTTTGTTTACTATTCCCAGAGTCAAAGTAAAACCTGGAGAAGCAGCTTTCAGTTTTTATTCTCCAGGGATCTGAACAAACATCCAGAAAACCTTTTCTACAACTCAGTATGTTTAGTTGCTGCTTTTCATGAAGTGAAGTTTGTGACTTTTAATTCATTTCATTCTCTGCACTGTAGCTTTTATTCTCCAGTTTAATCTGTTTTATTCTTCTGTTTGTGTGTGTTGTAAATCTTGTCATAACACTTTTATGTCTGATGATGTTTTTATCATATTCTCTTCAATAACTTGATCATATTCTCCTTCTTGTTTAGGACACTTTGTAACATCTGTCCAGGGACGACAGATGAAAATAGCATTCTGGGTAATAGTGTTTATGAAACTGTCCCTGTTAAATCAAATACTAGAAAAAAAAATACTGGCCTCTGATTGGCTGACTGGATGCCTCTGAGTGGCTGTGTGGACACATCAAACAAAGTCCAGGTCAACAGTTCAAACACTGTTCCAGATCAATGTGTATTGACCTGCAGGTAACCATAGCAACAGCACAGATGCTTCAGGCGAAGTTAACTAACTGTTGACACGCAGCAAAGGTGAACCAGCAGTGAGCAGCTGTGTTGTTACCGAGCCTTTAAATAAATCTTCACATCTGTGAAGATTTACGTCTTCAGTAGGAAACACTGGCTCTCTCTGTGGATCAGTCACAACATGTGGAGACAGGTGACGTGGATACCTGAGCCTGACAGACGCTCAGCACGACTCCAAACACCAGCAGGACAGTGGTTAGCTTCATCCTGAAAGACAAACACAGTGAGGAGGATGAGAGAATCACAACCTCAGCAGCAGCTTCACTCACTGTCACAGAAACACAAAGTTTCCTTTGTTCTTCTGAACACATCTGGACCTGGTTCCCAGACCACACACACACACACACACACCACATGCCTGATGGGAAACCCAGACTGTGTCGTCCAGAAACCTCAGAGCTTCAGTTTCTTTCCAAAGTGTCTCGATTATTTCACGTCATTGAAAAGAGAAAGTTCAGAGGATGAAGATTAATGACGACTTCACTCTGATTCTGCTTCCTCCTCTTCCTCATCATCATCATCATCATCATCATCATCATCATCATCATGTGTCACTCACTGTGTGGAAATATGAAGAAATACACACAAAGGTGCAGGTGACACACGTTAGATGAAGAAATACACACAAGTGAAATGAGACAAAAGCCACAGTAAAATCAACGTGTAACCACGGTAACGGTAAAGTGATGACTGTGAAATGTGGACTCCTCGTCTGTCTCTTCATCTGTGAGGTTTTAAAGAGTGAACAGGACTGATGGAGACCTGCAGAGTCCTGCAGATGAGCAGCTCACATGTGTCCTGCAGGAACTTGTCTACCAGGAATGTTTCTCATTGGCTGCTCTCAGATCACATCAGGGATCAAAAGTGGAGGTCACGACCCTGAGATTATTCCACAGCACTGCAGACTGTTGATCTTGGCTCCAAACTCTCTACAGCCTCTAATGACCTCAGAGGAAACTGAGTTAAAAAGTCAAACACACTTCACCTGTTCACCAGGTTGATTTCACACCAATGGAATAATGTGGTGGTTATTAATGTGACGGAGCTCTGAGCTGCTGTGAAACCTCTTATATAAAGCTCAGTGGAAAAGCTCCAGCTGGGACCGAGCTTCTCGGCGCAGAGACGCAGACTGAGCTGAACTGGACTGAAGCTGGTTCACAGCCTGGAACCAGAACCGGGATCAGTCCGAACACAACGTGTTTATTACAGTAGAAACAGACAGAGTCCGTGTCTCAGGAGCTGTGAGGGTTTTAATGGCGACACATCAACCTGATGAGACAAAGAGCTGCAGCACTGAACTAACTGTAGCTGCGTTCATTCAGTTACTGGCACAAAACACAAGAAGCAAAAGTTAAAAGTTAGTGAGGAAGTCACTCACCTCTCCTCTGCTCGCGACGGTCCACGTCTCTCTGTGTCTCTGTCTCTCTGTGTCTCTGTCTCTCTGCAGATGAGACGAGACTTCGCCCGGCCGACGCCTCCTGGCTCTGCGCCCACAGCGGCGCGCTTCCAGCTGCTGCCAGCAGAGCGTCGGGAGCGCGCAAGTGAGACAGAAGCTGCTGAATATAGTCTGAATACAGTCAGAAGATCTGATCTGATCTGATCTGATCTGATCTGATCTGATCTTATCTGATCTCGTCTGATCTGATCTTGAGGTTTAATTGAACCAGAACTTCTACCGATTCTTCTCCCAGGTTTTGGACCAGGCAGAGCATCACGTGCTCACATGCCCCTCATCTGATAATTTTTAATCCCATGTGTCAATATTTAGGTTGATGTGAGCGGATTAAACATTAAACCTGAGACTCAGGTCAGGGAGATCGTTTCATTATTTTTCCTCTGCAGCGTTTTAAACATTTAAAAGAAACTGGTCCTGATGGTGGAGCCCTACAGGGGTCCCTGGGACCCCCTGGACCTCCTATATAACTCTGATTTATCAGGTTCCAGGTGCATTTCCCTGGTAGCTGTCCTTAATGTGGAACCACCTAAGAAATCCTGAAGACATGTCAAGATCCTCTAAAGACACATTGTAATTCTGGAGTACCCTGGTGGTCTCCAGGAACCCCAAATGTCCCCTGGAACCTCCTAAAAGATCCTTAATTGGTTTTGCCTCAGAACCCCACAGAGATCCCTAGAAACCCCCAAAGAAACCCCTACAACACTGGAACCACAGCAGGGAACCCAGGAGCTCTGTGTGGGTCTAATGGAACCTCTGTTCGACCTGTGGAGTCTGTACAGTGTCATCTGAGACTTCCTAAGGTCTACTGAGACCACCCATGGAAACCCGTTAGAACTGCTTATCCCACATATTAGGATGCCAACCTCCCGCTGGTAGCCTCCTAAGGACCTCTGGAGGTCCCTGAGGGACCCATGGATCTACTGTATGGACAACTTGAGCCCCCACAAGGACCTCTTCACAGAAATAAAGAATTTGTGAAATTATCCAACTTGTTAACCCTGATCTTTGCCTGTCAGGCAGCACTCACCTCCTTGACTGTGTGCTGGCTCTAAACAAGCTCCAACCAGTCAAAGGGTTGAGGTTTTAGGTAATAAGAATTAGATTAAGACAGTATTTTGAGACGTCCTAGCAGAAGAGGTAAGGTTTGTACACAGCCTGAGCAGGTAAAACTCAGGGCAAAGGAGCCTAAAGTAGCAGAACAATCATGATGGCTTTGTTTTAGGGTTGTCCGTCCATTTGTACGTCCGTCTCATTCTCATGGACACGATATCTCAGTAACACCTTGACTGAACCTTTGACTGGTGTATGTTAGTCTGGAAATAGGTCTCATATGAACAGAGGAACAGTTTAGCGGTATCTAAGGATACAAAACAAAGGGGTTTAATTTCTGAGAAGAGCTGGATTTTCTTCTCCAAGTGAATCCACATGAGAGCCTGAAGTCCTCCAAACAAATCCAAAGTAATTACTGTAACTCTCTTTCCCGCAATACAAACACACTCTTGTGTCAACACTTTATTTTCCCTGGCTGAATATGAAATTAAAATCATCACATTGTTGATAAAACATCTTCCAAGAAAAAAAAAGACATCATCATCACATCATAGCACACAACTTGTTGGGAGGAATACTGCTTTTGTTTATGGCACAGTCTTATGTTTTCTCAGTATATGTACAGTGTAGTTCTTGCATCAGCATAAAGCCTGAAATTCATTGACAGGCCTCATATATCCTTTATACACACTCACTGAACACTGTATATTAATACTTTTATCACATCAGAAAGTTGATAGGTTCATAAAACATCACCAATCTGGTAAACCCGAGGTTTTAGTTTTTCAAATTGTTGAGTCTTTCATATAAAACTGAATACTGATCACTATAATTGCAGTGCATTTGTATTTTCCCATGTTTAAACTACAATGCCTTCTGAGCAACACAAGACCAAGGGGTTCGTCCTCTGTCCTACGACTGAATTTACTTTCCAGGAAACGTTTGACCATTTGGGAAATTTGCTTATTCACTTTCTCGCAGAGATTAGATGAGACTAAACAAATGAGATATAACGAGTTAATTAGTGAGCTTTGTTACCTTTGGATAGAGCCAGGCTAGCTGTCTCTGCCTCTGTTTCCAGTCTTTATGCTAAGCTAAGCTAATCAGTTGCTGGCTTTAGCTTCGTATTTCACGCACAGACATGAGAGTGGGATCAATCTGAACAAGAAGGAGAACAAACGTTATTTCCCAAAATGTCAAACTATTCCCTTAACGAATAAGATTTCACTCTTCAGGCAGGGACAGAGTCATCTGGTTTAGAGCAGGATCTGTCTTCTGTCTTCTTCTGCTCGTTGCCGCCCTCCAGTTCATTTAGACTGTGTGGCTGCTCTCTCTCACCAAAGGGGGCGCTGCACGACGCCATGCTGCTGCCTTCTGCTGACTCTGTCTTGCTGCTTTGTTTGCTGTTTATGTCTCTTTCCCTGTCACTGTCTGTCGTAGGTTGGTCGCTCATGGTGCTGTTGCCAAGGGGACCATCGTTGAGCATGGGGTCGTTGTCAGGGGCGGGGTTTGTGACGATGCCCATGAAGAGAGGGGCCAAGGAGGCGTCATCGACAAGGGCAAAGATGAAGGGGGAGGTGACTGAGAAGAGGGAGACGGAGCGCATGGAGGTCACAACCGTGGTGGCGGACGCCTCCACGCCTTCCTCACTGAGCTCTACGGTGCTGGCGTGGCGGACGCCCGTCACCCTCAGAGGCTGGTCAGAAATCCCAGAGAGGTCAGGACCCGAAAACAGAGAGCCGAGGCCTGATGGAGAGACCCAGAGAGATGCGAGAGTTAGACTGAAGTGCCAGATACATTCCCCTGATCGGCACATTCATGGTAATCTAAGGTCAAATCATATGATACTACATCGTGTATGATGGCACTAGGCTGCTTGAAAGTGAGATAATCACCACCACGGCGTCCATGTCATTTCTTCCAGACATCCATTCTGACTCAAAGAAGATAATATTCTCACCCATGCTGGTCAGCGCCTCCTGGAGCTCCTGGCGGTACTGCAGCTTCACCTTCGGTAAGTTGACTTGCATTGTTTTCTCTTGAGGTAGACGTCTATAGAGGTCGGAAATGTTGAGTTTGGGAAGCACTGACGACACGTTTTCTCTGCCTGGCAAGGGCAGGACAATTAAGAAACTGGTGTTTCCCTTGAACGGAAAACTGGCAACCTGGACAAGAGAGAAAGACTTTCTCTTATTTTGTTTTGATCTTTCATATGGACAAATTCTCAACACATTGACAATAGGAACACATAGTGGTTAAAAGGTGCAGGAGAAAAGGAAGAAATTAAATGAAAATACAATAAAGAAATTATGGTATGAGTCATAAAGTAGACACATTACTTATTTAAACCATGGCCACTGAAAACACTTGTTTATGATTGACTGTATGGTGAAATCTAGTTAACAGGGGCAGCAGGCTAAGTAAGGTAAGTTAGCTCTCAAGATGGGATCTGAAGTTGGGGTGAGGAAAACTCTCAGAGCCCCAGGTCTCTTCCCAGTTAGACGTGACCAGAAAACCTGATCCTGATCTGATGTCAACAGAATCCCAAAATCTCCTCTAGGGGAGAGACCAGCTACCCTGCAAAGGAAACTCATTTTGGCTGCTTGTACCTTTCTTACAATGTCCAAAGCTCACAACTGCAACTGGGGGTCTGAACATTGGAAGGCCAACTGACAATTGCGATATAGCTTCTGTTTTTGTCTGTGTTAAGTGACAATGGTTTAAGATCAAAAATGTCCAAAAAGATTAAATCCAGGATGCTTATGAACTCATTTTCAAGTGAAATTGATTTGTAGGGGAGATTAGTGTTTGAAAGCCTTGATGGTGGTCATCGCTCCGCTTGTGAAAACAGACAGTATCTGAACCATCTCTGATGTGTCCAGGAATGCCGGTGTTACCTGTGCCTCCAGCTCTGGATCATCCAGCAGGCGTAAAGGGTAATGGACAGACTTCATCATGTCCACCGACACTGAGTTCTGGCTGTCCAGGTAGAACGCTCCCTTTGAGGTCACTTGGGGGTCAAATCGAGTCTTCCATTCACCTGACAAACACAGAGAGGAGCAAGAGGGAATCATTAGGAAGTTGAAGGAGGAATTTGTTTTGAACAACCTGAATTCATGAGCGAACTTCCACTGAGTTTGCATTTGAAGAGGCCAAGTAGCACTTCATTGAAGGAGCTGCACTCGTCTGGAGAGTCTCTGGTTTGGTCATATGAAAGTGGCATGATGATGTTGACTTTCTGGCTTGGACCATGGTCTCCAATGCGCAATGAAAGCATTTGTAGCAACTGTGAAGATTGTTCCCCAGCATGAAACCAAGGTTCTTCCCCCAGTAATGATACTGCTCAGCCCAGTTGGTGGACAACAAGCTCCTCACATGGAGGACTTCAACAGTCAGCATACACTTACTGCAATGGGGATTGTTTCATTATGAAATCTGAACCAATATACACAGATGTTTTGGGGTCGAAGGATTCACCTTTGAAGTACACAGCGTTCATGAGCATAAGCACCACATCATGTGGAATACTTTCCAGGAAGTTGGGGATGTGACCATTGGTGACATTCTCGACCCATTGGTTGACTTCTTCCACAGAGACCAGAGGGACGGGCTGTGATCGGTACCTGAAAAAAAATCACACCTTTTTACTTCCATAACATTCATGGCACATATAAACATCAGACAACAAAAAAGAGTCTATCAGTTGGTATAAACGAAGTAAAAACTTGCTACTTACTACCTGTACTGTCTTTTCAGACCATGCCATTCCCCACATGACCAGCAGCCGTCACTGCAGAGCTTTCCCACCCAAGCCACCACAGCTGTTGTCCATTTAGCAATCATCTCCCCAGTATTTACAGCTCAGCTCTTCCTCACTCACTAGTTTGTCATTGCTTACCAACTGTGGTGAACCAACCTTTAATCTTATCTGCCTGTCTTAGCTTGTTTGACCAGCTGCCCGCCTTTAGCCTTTTGAACACATGTTTACCATTTTGGTTCTGATCTGTAGTTCCCAACCCTTGCTTGAAATGAATAAAGACAGTTTTGACCAAACTCTGTGATAAACCTTTGACATTGTCATTCATTGGGACATCCAAACTCTACATGTCTACTTCAACATCTACCTCTGCATTCAGTGTTTATGACATGATTGTAGTTGATACCTGGCCAGAGAATCCTCAACAAAAGACAACTTCACATCAAATCCTGAAGAGATATAAGAAAAGAGAGAAAACAGAAAAGGTGGGTAAGATGAGTTTTACACAAAACATCTTATAAACCGTCTCAAGTTCAACACTCGTCAGCACACACCTGGTCTCAGGTACATGCGTGTTGCCACATCCAACGACGTCTTGCTGAAATGAGGTACAAGGCTTCCTAGTATATGATGGTAACACGGCACACCGTGGGCATGAAGGCTCTTCAGCAGCAGCTTCTCCGTCTCATTGCGAGCGCCTAAGAAAAAAATTCCACCTGAGCAAATTGGTTGTGAAGAATGTACAGGAATACACATGGAACAAACACCAACATGAACAGCTCCACATGACTTTACATGTGCAAAGATTTCTTGATGTAGAGCTTCTTTTCCAATTAGGTAATATGACACTAAAGATCTGTAGCCATGCTTGAGCTAGCTTACAATGCTGCAATGTTGACTTGTTGGTAGTCATAGATGAAAGGTAAGGTGACCGACTACATGCTGTGTCTCAATTTGCGTATTTTTACATTCATTGCACTTTAAGTATAATCAGTCAAGCAATTAATACGGAAACACAGGACTCTTCTCAGCCTCAACAGTCGCCATCTTGTCAATGTAATGAAAGAGGAGGGACCCCCACCATATTTTCAAACTTGTGAAAATGGTGGCCAAGGAAGGAGGACGTGTACTTGGCAGTGATGCCGATGTCATTTCAATGTTGTGCGAATCAGGAGGCAAACACAGGAAAGTAAAACATTTTTAACCTTTTTTTTAAATCACGTACAGAAGGCATCCGGCAGATATCTTAGCGGGCAACAAGCACGGCCATGTGTTGCTATTGTTATTTTCGGTAAGTAATGCCATGTTTGATTTGAGACAACACTAATCTGTCAAGATATTTTGACTAGCTTCTAACTAGCAGTACAAGTCAACAACTCGTATTTAATATGTTTTTTGCCACACTACCCGTGGTTGGTTGCTCAGTCCACCATTTTGGTCCAGACTGTAATGTTTTAACAATTGAATGGATTGCACTGAAATCTGGTACAGACATTGGTGGTAACCAAAGGACAAATCCTAATGATTTTGGTGATCCCTTACAATTCTCTAGCGCTACCAGCAGGTGCACATTCAGTCCTGGACGCTGCTGAATTTGGACCTGGAAATCAAAGCTGCTTACTCTTGACGCTAACTCTTGATTCTGATGAAAGACTAAAATTAAACTCAGACTGACCTAAGGTGAGCTGAGCGAGGGCAAAGGCCAGGCTGAGAGGTGATAGGATGACATTTGGCTGCTTTGGACCAATTGGAAGATTTTCCAGGAGCTGTAAACCCAGTCGCTCTATGGCGCCCCCTATCACCCGGTGTTCCTCACGGCTGAACACCTTCCCTCCGCTACAGCCATGAACCGTTTCCTCCTCTTCATCTACAGAATCGGAAACATCAGGAGCTCCTGGACTGGGCTCCTCCTGAAGACAGAGGGACAGACAGGGATCAGGTTCTCAAGAACACAGAGACATTAAAGAGAAAGACCAAATAAAGAATTCCCCTTTAGTGCTTAAAAAGTTAGTTTACTAGACTGAGGTTCTTCTTACAGTCAGTCCCAGGTGGCAGAGACAAAACAAGAGAAGAAGAAGACACAGCTTCATTTCCAAACAACCAGCCTGAAAAACACAGAGAGACATCATCGTCCATTGTAGCATGGAGGCTGAAACACATTACATGTTTTTATCTAATGATGAGATGGAGCTCTTTTGTCCACTACATGGTTGATAATGGAAATTTGTCTTTGGCAACCAGCAACCAAAGTGCAAATCTTAGGTTTAATCAAACTTCTGTTATCTACACCCTGCAGGGACTTTTTCATTGGTTGTGTCTGAGGACTCTGGAGCAACTCAGATTGTGACTTATCCTCAAATTCAATTGGAAAATGGCTCTTTTCATGAGTGACAACCACCTGGATACAGGTATTCCATGATGACAGCCACAACTAGATTTCCTAACTGGAAAGTTTTGGGGAAATAAGGGTTGAGTCGCCCAAATTTAGTCCAACAACATAACACGAACCAATACAATACGTGCACATGAGGACATCCTAAAATTTTAGCACACTTATATTAGCATGTTAGCATGGTATGCTAGCATTAATCTCAAAGTAGGTATCTCGTCATGAACTTTAATGGTGAATAAGTAGGATTTTCCCCTGTTGGTGCTGCTAGAGGAAAAGTCATTTGGTCGCCATTGTTAGTAGGATTCCTCCTCTGGGGGTCAGGAGTGTCTACACCAAATTTCATGACCATCCATCCAATATTTGTCAAGATATTTTGGTCTGGATCAAAACGTACAGTTCCACCACTCTGGTAAAAACCTCCAGAGCAGCTGATATTTGACTTCTGTACAATAATACTGTATAATCTGTCATTGTAATGGTGTCTGTCAGTAGGTTTAGAGTCACTTGAGGTTTCAGATATGGCTGCTGTGTTTACCGGGAGACTAAAGGTTACTGTTTCAGAGCCTTTTTTTGGCTGAGCTGTAATACACTGAATACACAGAGCACACAATTCACTGAACTACATGAACTATATGAGTCCAACACCACTGTATACAAGAGATAAGCTTCATGCTCATATATATGTATATGTATATATATATATATATATAAACGTACTGCACCTATGGCTTGAAGGAGTTGCATTATCACTGTCTGAGTGCAGCTCTAAACTTTCTCTATGAATCACTGTATTTGTGTAAATTACAGATTATTTAAGCAGCGCTGCAAATGACTGGCAGCAAATTTTCTCTGCAGAGACTCAGAATGCGGTGGAAGAAGGTTTTGCTGAAATGAAAGACGATCCAAACTCACCTGGCCTGTGTCTGACGTGGTGACAGACGATGAGGAACAAAAGGGATTAAAAGAGGAGATGAAAAAAATAAGAGTAAAGACAGATATGGCCAGTCTTCTCTAGGCTGGACCACGTAGTGCCTGGACTCAACCACCGCCGCCCCCCTGTTGGCTGGTTAATAATCCACCCTGGATGGATCATGGCTGTGTCGCTGGTCACTACACAATGTAAAAATAAAGAGACAGGCTGCCTGTTAGACTGTTTCTATGGTCAACGGCTTTGGTTTCACCATCTAAATACCTGGTGGTGAAGCCACATTGGAGAATTAGCTACAACTGAATGGATTCATTAGCTATAACTCCCATCACTGATCAGATACTACAACACAATAAACTGTCTTTAGCCAAACTGTTTACCCCAAAATACAGAGTCAGCTCACTTAAAGGAACACTCTGTCTCCTTGTTACTCAAATAGCCAGAGGCCCACTCCTGTCAGCAAAACAAACAAACTGATGTCAAGTTAGGAGACAAAAAGTCTCCTCTGTATCTCAGTCAGGACAAAGTCAAACATACAATTTATAATCTCTACTTCAATTACAAACTACAATTATTAATTAGATTTAGTAACATAATTTATAAGACCATCTATTAATCTAGATTATATTTATAATCACTATATAGTTTAGTAATGAGAATGTGTTTATTATGGCAGACATTTGATGTGATGCCTTGAAATCTTGACCCAGCTAGTTCGAGATTGTAGTTACGACTTAAATACAACAAAATCATGTATGAAAATTGAAATCTTAGTGCTCCCTGTTAATTTTTCATCAGTTTTACTGTTGGACACAAACTTCCACACTAAACCTGTGAGTAAGATTGATAACAAAACTAATGAAACTACACAAAACAAATCAACCAAACAAATCTAAACTCAACTAGAAACCAAAGCTGACGTAAACAAAATAAAAGCAGTTTCACAGCGGACTGAAAGTGAGTAAATGTTTTGTGCACTGAGCCTTCAGGGGACTCTACACATACATTCAGCAGAGAGAGTGGGTGTGTATTTGTCCTGTTCAGACTGCCTGGTTCCAGCTTTACGCCCCCACAATGCACAAACAGGGTCCTTCCTCCACCTTGGTTCACTTTGATCCTCCCGGTTTCAACACAGAACCCCAACAGTCCCTGAGACGCACTGTGAAGCATGTCAGTCTGAAATCTGGCGGCGTCCACACTACGATGAATCTGTTTATTTACTCAGATGATGTCCTGTTCCAATACACATTCAACAGACAGAAGAGCCGAGAGTTCAGAGCTTCTGCGGGACTAAACACGTCTGCTCGACTCCTGGCTTTGTCGCACCAGATGATGATGTGTAGTTTTACATGGTGGTTAAAGTTAAGGTAAAAGCAGGGAACTTGCTGTGCTCTCACAGTGTTAATGAAAGAAAGAAAAAAGATCCAGCTCCTCCCACACACTCTGCTGCCTGACTTCCAGTAAAAACAGTCAGATTTTGCCAACAGCGCACACACAGACACACACATTCATACACGTACCCTCACTCTGTAAACCAGTGTTGAGTCAGCAGACAAGTCAGAGAACCAACATACGTTTAGCCACCTTCAGGTTTAATTGTCAGAGGCAGAAAAGTCTTAAGGGTTTAATAAAGACCTGGTCACACCAACCACGTTCAATCAATCAGTTCCAATCAGATCATCACAAGTGATGGAGTCACTCAGGGGGAAAAGAAAATCTGGAATTTTTCATGTTGAGTTCAACTTTGCTGATCTTTGACCCAGGATTTTGTGCTCTTGACCAATAGCAAGCCGCCTTGTCCAAGATGGATTCATTCCTTCAGTTTTAAAATCTTCTGTCGGAGTAAAATCTACCCAGAGGAGGATTCATCTTTTGAACAATGAACTCTTTGTTGTCTTAATAAAAAAAATTTAAAAAAAGAAGTACAGCTGTGAATAAATGCCAGAGGGCGTAACAATCAGTGAGGTCATTATGGAGTCAGTTCCATACCAATGTAATAGCAACGACTTGCCAGCAGATGTCACCATTTTGACTGAACAAACCCTGTCCCATTACTGCTGTCTACATGTGGGTCTTCAATAGAAAACACTGTGCTTTTCATTTGGGGATAGAAGATCCTCTTTCTCACTCAGTGACTCTGAAACCAGACGACTCATAATTTTAAAACTTTTATTTTAACCCTCACTTCCTGTGTCTTCGTCAGTCTGGCTGGTTCTTCTGTTGCAGCTGTTTTCATTGTTAAGCAGTTTGTAACATCTACTCAGACTCAAGAAGCTGCTTGGTTTATTTGAGGTGACGTTTGACTCGTATGTTGCTCATCAAATAGTGACTTCAATTATTTTCAACCTGTGTTTTATACATGATCAATAAAAATCAGACCAAAAGCTGAAGCGTTAACCAGCCTTCATTCTGAAATGCGTGCAGGTGAGTAAGTGTCCACTGGGGGGCAGCAGAGGATAAACTGAAGTCTCACATCACTGGACTGTCAGTGAAGAACCAACACATCTGTCAATATGGATCAATCACTAATAAATACAGCAAGTACTGATCCCTGAAATGTCAACTGAAGAAAACAATTATTTTTATTCTAAGCATCAAAGGAATGAGAGGAGAGAAGTTCGACTTCAGAGCTTGACCCCAAATGAACACACTGTCTTTTCTCTGATATGAGCTCCATACAAACTAAAAGCATATTTGACAGGGTGTGATGTCACCTTTGGTATCTCTCCTCATTCATTTCCATTCAGTGATAACAGAAATCACCTTTTCTCCTAGAACTAAATTCTCTTCTCAAGTCACTTATTTTATTAAATTTAAAAATATTAAATACGTTATATTTAAAAAGTATATTTAAAAAGAGCAATAAGCTTTTGGAAAATTATGGAAACTTTTTCCCTGTTGCCTCCAACTGAATAAGTACATTTTTGTGTGTTTATGTTCCCCTGTGCTATTTTTTTCTTTTAATGGAATTTATTTTACATTTTCATTCCTTTTATGTTTCTTTAAGTTCTGCTTTAATGTTACTTGAATTACTGTACATTTCCTTTGATCCATTCAGTGATGATGACGTTTCGTTTGAATCAGAGAACATGTTGTCAAAGCAGGTACATAAAGAGAATATAAGTAAATAAAACATACAATGAATACATAAACCGTGGTGATTAACAGTCAAACCGGAAGACACAAAAGCTGCAGTTCCTCTGATGAGGTGAGGTGAGTGAAATTCTTCTTTTACTGTATTTATATATTAGCACTGATTAGCAGCTATCGGTGCCTGCGCTCACCATACCTGGCTTGTTAGCTTAGCTCGTTAACTAGCTAATTAGCCAGCAAACGAATTAGCCTCGGGTTAGCCTTTCTAGCAAGACGCCCAGGAATTAAGCTGTGCTAACGATGCTAACGGGGACGTATGCTTGTCACAAACGGGTTTCCGCCGAAGTCCCGGCTACACACAAGCCCCTCCTTTCTGGCCGTTTTTGAATTAACCGGGAGTTCGGCAGAGTCAGGTACCGGCAAGATGGCGACGTCATGGCCTGCCTACTCTCAGCTTCAAATCCGCTCTTTTGTAACCTAAGGGTGACGTCACACAGACTACGTCCATCTTTATTTACAGTCTATGCTCCACACACACCCGACCTCTTTAGCCGTTTTTGAATTAGCCAAGATGGCGTCGGCGGAGCAGCTACAGGAAGCATCAGGTGATTTCAGGAGTCCGTCTTCACAGTCGGTGCGCAGGCTACAGTATGTGAGAGGTGGGAGAACTCAAAACTACTTTGGTAAAAGTACCAATAGAACTTAGAAATACTTCACTACAAGTAAAGCACTGCATTCAAAAGCAGATACACGTGAAAGCACATTAGTATTTTCAAAAGTAATACTATTTGTATCTGTGATTGATCTCTGATTCTCCAAACTGGGGTCGGGCCCCTCCAGAGGGTCACCAGGTAAATCTGAGGGGTCTGAAATACAGTGGAGTAGAAGTGTAAAGCTGCATTAAATCGAAATGCTCAAGTAAAGTATAAGTACCTCAAAACTGTACTAACAACTAGAAACAACTGGTTACTAACCTCCTCTCTTATTACTGGGTGTTGACAGTGGGAACACACAAGGATTACTATCATGGACAGTTATCAAACTCTTCCACTGTTACTGTGTTTATCCTGTTTTGCAGTGTGATCACTCCCTCAGTTCAATTTCAGTTCATTCTTTATATTTTTATGCTTTTTAATTTGTAATGTGTGTAGTAAAGTGATCAATAGCGTCCGTTTGTAATCAGTTGTATTTGTAGCATTGTGACCAGCACCTCCATTAATGTGTTGCTACTTAATGTACTATATTTAATTCCAATATATTTGAGTTTATTTGAATTTATTCAATTATATATCATTTAACAATGTACTGTCTGTAGAGACAGTATTTTTTTTTTACTGTGTATAAAGTATTAATTTCACAATTTCAAGTAATTTTGGCACAAAAATTTCCTTTGGGATTAATAACTGTAAAAAACTGTATTTTATGTTTTTCTTTACTTAGGATTAAACACAGGGCTGGTTGAAACTGTCTTTAAAGTGATTTATAACATATTATATAACAATTATAACATTTTCTTCTTGAATTGCTACAGCTACTTGAATCTTTTCTGCCACAGCCGTCGCAGCCTTGTTAAAATGTCCTGAGACATGAAAGTGACTGTATATTTTCACATTATTATTGGTTTGTGACTGAAATATCCAAATTGCAGGATCTGCAGATGAGCTCTCTGACAGAGGGACTTTGTCAGACTCAGCTGGTTGCAGTGAGACTCGGTCGTGTCCAAACACAACAGGAGGAAGAGAACAAACATGGAGAAGAGACTGAGCAAAGGTAAGAGAGAAGAAAGAGAGAGGAAGAGCAACATCAGGGCGAGAGAGAGGAGAAGAGAGAGGGAAAGATGCACTAATTAATCTCACCTTAACTTTAGTTGGAGTGGATTAGATTGAATCAGACTTCCTGCCCAGTGTTACGGCCCCAGGAGAAGATGTTTAACTTTTCATAATATCAGTCAGGTTGTCATAATAAAACGTCTGAAGCACAAAGATATAAACTTATCAACTGTGTGATTTTAGGATGATGGTATCACAGTTTGCACAGAGCTCTGTTTGGAGCTGCGAGAGGAAAAAACAGAAGAAGAAGTCACAGAGAGATCAAAGAGAACGTGACGACCTGTTTTAAATAAAACTACAAAACTTCAGGACATGATTTCTAGAGCCAGGCTTGAAACTCACTTGTGACTTTGTTAGAAAGGTTTAAAGTTTGAAGTGTGTTTGTCGTGGTGCAGATAAAGAGCGGTAAATGAATCTGTGCAGGAAGATAAAAGGTAAGTCCAGTCTGACGTAAACTGATCTGATTTCCTCTTCTGTGTTTACTCTGGTGAGAGTTTGGATAAAGTCTGCAGGGACACTGTGTGTGTGTGTGTGTGTGTGTGTGTGTGTGTGTGTGTGTGTGTGTGTGTGTGTGTGTGTGTGTGTGTGTGTGTAGTAAAGTTAATATGTAGTGTCGACGGTGAAACGCTTCACAAGTGTGTTGGAGAGAGAGAGAGAGCAGCAGACGGAGTGTGAGCAGTGAAGAGACGAGTCTCATCGATACAGCTGTTCTCTGACAGTCATATAGACTTATTCTTCATCATCATCTTCATCTTCATCTTCACCCATGTCGGTTCTTCCTCTGCGGGTGAAAATGTTGCAGCAGGTCTGGAGGTTGAAGGGCATCGTCGTCCTCGTGTGCAGCCCGTTCCTCCTGCTGCCGCTCGCTGTCAGCACCACGGTGAGACCAGTTAAATAACCAGTTTACTGATGAATGACATCATAATTAAACCAGCTACACAAACCAGTTACAAGCTGTTAATGTCCAACCACTTAGATGAACCAGTGCATTTGAAATATACCTGTTAACTGTGGTTCTCTGTGGTTCTCTGGTTCTCTGTGGTTCTCTGTGGTTCTCTGGTTCTCTGTAGTTCTCTGGTTCTTTGTTCTCTGGTTCTCTGTGGTTCTCTTGTTCTTTCTGGTTCTCCGTAGTTCTCTGGTTCTCTTGTTATCTGTGGTTCTGTGTGATTTGCTGTGGTTCTTTCTGGTTCTCTGTGATTCTCTCTGGTTCTCTTCTTCTCTGTAGTTCTCTTTAGTTGTCTGTTGTTCTGTGGTTCTCTGTGATTCTCTCTGGTTCTCTTCTCTGTTCTCTCTGGTTCTCTGTGGTTCTGTGGTTCTCTTTGGTTCTCTTGTTCTTTGTGATTCTCTGTTCTTCTCTTGTCCTCTCTGGTTCTCTGTGGTTCTCTTGTTTTCTGTGGTTCTCTGTTCTCTGTGGTTCTCTTGTTCTTTCTGGTTCTCTGTAGTTCTCTGGTTCTCTCTGGTTCTCTTGTTTTCTCTGTAGTTCTGTGTGGTTCTCTTGTTTTCTCTAGTTCTCTGTGGTTCTCTTGTTCTCTCTGGTTCTCTGGTTCTTTGTAGTTCTCTGGTTCTCAGTGGTTCTCTGTTGTTCTCTGTTCTCTGTAGTTCTTTGTGGTTGTCTGTAGTTCTCTGGTTCTGTGTGGTTCTCAGTGGAACAGGTCACAGTGTTCTGTCAGTCATTGACAAACTGAGCTGAGGCTGTTTGAAGATTCACAGTTGAAGTTAATTCAGTGGAAACACGTCACAGCTGATCTTTACTCACACTGATTCCTCTGTTGCCACAGTAACAATAATCTATCAATACCATATCAATAACCTATCAGAGGTTTCATAGTGAGTATGTATCATGTATTTACCTCCACAGATTAATACAGAACATGTTGAGAACTGATATATTTACCTCCAGGACTGAAACTGGGATCTGGTCTGGTTCAGACTCTGTCCCTGAAGGCTCCAGTAACGTTTCCCAGAATCCCACTCTTCAATGTGTGTGTGTGTGTGTGTGTGTGTGTGTGTGTGTGTGTGTGTGTGTGTGTGTGTGTGTGTGTGTGTGTGTGTGTGTGTGTGTGTGTGTCTGTGTGTGTGTGTGTGTGTGTGTGTGTGTGTGTGTGTGTGTGTGTGTGTGTGTGTGTGTGTGTGTGTGTGTGTGTGTGTGTGTGTCTCTGTGTGTGTGTGTGTGTGTGTGTGTGTGTGTGTGTGTGTGTGTGTGTCTGTGTGTGTGTGTGTGTGTGTGTGTGTGTGTGTGTGTGTGTGTGTGTGTGTGTGTGTGTGTGTGTGTGTGTGTGTCTATTACGCGTCACGAGTTCTTCACAACGTCACTTCAAACACAAACAGTCGTAGAGAGGCGGCGGCCATCTTTTCCTCAGACGGCTGCTTCAAGAGTGGAAACAGTCTAATGAAAAACATTTAGTAAAAACCCTAAAGATGTCATGTGCTCAGTCATTCATCATGTTTGTGTAAATAATATAAAACAAACATATAAATATAATAAATATCTAAACAACAACATTATAAAACTGGTTAAACTAAATGAAGCTGCAGCTGTTAGACGTATTAGAAACATTATGAAGCTGTTTGGAGGTTGAAGTCATTTAAAAGGTTTATTAATGTTCATATTTTCTATCATTGTTCCAGTTGTTTTATTGTCATTGTTCACAATCTGTCTACTAATACATTAATGAACATCAGACCTGATTAGAAACCGGTTATTATCTTTATAGACTGGTGATGATGAACAGAAGATCCATGTAAAGAGTTAATGATTTGTTTCTTTTATAGCAGAAGGTGCGTCTTTCTCTCATCAGAGAAATCTGGAAAAATCAAATAAAATTCTGTCTTTTTAGAAAAGTAAAGTATAAGATGAGATGAACCTTTATTGATCCCCGTAGAGGAAATTCAGATTTGACACAGTAGCACAAAGGAAAAATGTAATAAGAAATAAAATAAGAAAAGAAACAGAATCTAAAATAAATAAGATAAAATAGAAATTCTAAATACAATAAGAATATACCAATTCAGTGTAGTTTGTTCTGTACATGCAGTTTGTCCCAATTCTGTTGTAATATACAATATGTGCACAGCAGTCTGTGAACTGACTGAATCCTCTCTCACACACACACACACACACACACACACACACACACACACACACACACACACACACACACACACAGATGTGTCAGTCTAACAGCTGGATCCTGGAGTCTCTGGGTTTACACCACATGAGTCTGTATCAACACTTCTCCTGTTTCTCCCTTTTGTTTTTACACTTTATATATTGTTCCATATTATTATTCCAGAGTATAGAGGTCAACTTAAACTTTATCGTGTGTGTGTGTGTGTGTGTGTGTGTGTGTGTGTGTGTGTGTGTGTGTGTGTGTGTGTGTGAACACAGGAGGCAGCCTGTGCTTACGTCATAGTCCTCATGGCGGTGTACTGGTGTACTGAGGTGCTGCCGCTGGCGGTGACGGCGCTGCTGCCGACCATCCTTTTCCCCGTCCTCGGCATCATGGAGTCCAAAGACGTAAGACCAGACGTCTACTCTGTTGTTTTCTAAAATATGCTTCTCTATTCTGTTCTGTTAGAATGAAAACATCTGTGAAGATGAATAAAAACTGATGTTAAAATCATGTAAACGTCGGCTTTAATACGCTGGTTAAAACATCCTAAAGACTCAGTGCTCCTCTCCTCCACCGGCACCTTCCCCCTGAGACCGAGTCCTACTGTCAGTCCGGACACATCAACCGGATCTCGTCAGTAACATGACTTCACTTTTTTTTCCCATATTACAAGAACTAATGACGTCTGCACTGTGTCACCTGTCCTCCTCGCGATGTGACGTTAAATTAGGGAAACTTTTCAAGAAGCTGTGAAAGAGATAATATTCACTTTTTGAAGAGCCGCTAAATCAGGTCGCACTGGGTTACAGTAACTCTGTAAACTGTGTGTGTGTGTGTGTGTGTGTGGNCCACAAGGATTTCCTGAAGTTCCAGACCGTCTGTTCTCTTTGGTCCAGTTTCTGTGGTCCAGTCTCTGTGGTCCGGTCTCTGTGGTCCAGTCTCAGTGGTCCAGTCTCTCTCAGTGGTCCGGTCTCAGTGGTCCGGTCTCAGTGGTCCGGTCTCTGTGG